GGAACTAGACTGGGCCATTGTCACCGGCCTTGCTCTAGATTATGGTATTCACTGCAGTATGGTGGCACCCGTACATGTGGTCCCCTGCAGAAAGTTTTGTATCTCTAGGCGTACAGTCGTGAGCTTAAAGAGGTCTTATTCGCCATGGTGGTCAGACAGACTTTTATTTTAGTTGACGGGGTAGAATAATGGCCTGGCAAAGAAGTGGCTCGACTTTCAAAGTCCTTCTTCGCAGTAAGAGACATGTAGTACAGTCTCCTTTCGGTCACTTGAGCCTGGTGCTCGCAAATTCTGTTATTCAGGCCTTTCAAGGCGTACAGTGACGCCCTGAGCCGTCTTAACATGGGATCGGAAAGTTCTAGACCAGCATGCCTTGGTACCTTCGTAGGCTATTCGTCCTATCTCTTGCGAATCTATAGTAATCGGTTCGGTATTCTTTGACCAGGTCAGTAGCTTGAGTGGTGCTTAGTTAAGTTAATGTCTGTAGCTTACGTCATGACATAGGTAGATAGCTGAAGCCCTCCAAGCAGCAACAACGGAGCAGCCAGACCCAAAATCACGAACAAAGGGGCCTTTCCGAAGAAACTCGATCGGATATATAATATCAGATCTGCGAACACTAAGGTGCTCATCCATCTGGCAAGTCACGCTTGTCTTGGGAATCGTTAGATGTTGTACGCTTAAAGGGCCTCGATATCTTACTATGTTCAGGGAGCCCCGCCCGACTATGCCTGGAAGCCCGCTGAGGCTCAAGACAAGTATTAGTTGGTTCATTTCCGAAACTGGACCGTCCCCGTGCTCATAAGTTGATGTGGTTTGGTTCAATATATCTGAATATAGCGATTTCTTCTTATAGGAATGATACGGTACAATTAGAACTTTTCCTTTCCTCTTCAATTCACTGTACCTTTAAGATAAGTTGCCTCCCGCTCAAACGTATCGGTTGTTATAAGCCTCCTGCGCGAGTAACCAGGAAGCCCTCTTGTTTAAAAATCAAGTTGCACGGCTTGTTTCGGGATTGCCCCACATTTTTTGCGTTATGGTTTAGATGGAATGCCCATTACCCGGGCCATTCGATTTACGGGCAGAAAAGGCAACTCACTACTTTGCCAAGAAGCCCGTCATTGGCCGGGTAATTGATGGAGGACTATAACTTTTTACCTTTGCTCGCGCCAGAAGCCCGATGTATATCCTAGCTATGGGTTGGACCTTCTCTCAGGGACGCCTTCTGGGAATGGGACTACAAAAGCGGCTAATTTAATTACAGAAGACCGTCTACCTACTTTATTCTTCAATCTATGTCTGCTATTCTCCGTTGTTGCACAGATAAATTCGCAAAAGTTCTGTTGCAATGTCAAGCATATTTCGGCGCACACTTGTATTACGATACGGTACCGGACTTAGTTGTTTCTTGCGTCTAAACATTGTCAATGAGGATTCTTCAATAGTTGCCCGGCTGTTTTGGCATGCAATAGGAAGGTTGCTCAGCGCCCCAAGCGCGGTGTGGCCTTGGGACAGATTAATAGAGATCTTCGCTGTATCTTAGTTGCGGTCAAAGAGTCTTTGTATGTAGCAGGCGGGGCAGTTGTCAAAGCTAACGTAATTCAAATAAGTTCATGGGTGGGATTGCGGCTAGAAAACACATACTTGCATCGATACTGTCTAGAGTTATATGAGTGCATATAATCTGCTGAAAGCGACCGCTTCTTCCATTCTTTTTGAATTCTCCGCGAATGCCTCTATTTCAGTGCGACTGACGTGTTGCAGTGATCTGAAAATGCCAGGCCTTGTACCAGAGAGTTTAAGTTCCTGCTCGCTTCTTGCAACAATTGGTTTGCAATTTCTGCTAAACTGCCTCTATCTTCATTTAACGCAGGCGAAAGTAATTCGCACGGAAGCTTTTTTTTAATCTGAAAATCAGAGCTGCGATGATCCCTATCCGTATTAAGTGGAGAATTCGATTAAAGGTTGCACAGGAACAATCAGGAATGGTAGATGTTGCGTACAAACCGAACTGGATCAAGTGCCCATCCAGGGCTGTTTGACTCGATCTCCCCAGACTTATCGTCGAAACTCAATCCCAGCTCGTCCCTTGGCCATATGAATGCTTCGAACCGGAAATCCGCACCACTCTTGGATCGACTATACTGACTCACTAGCCGCCAGATCCTCTCGCGACACCGGGCCAGGGCCCCAAGGGTATGTTCAACCCTGGGCAGCAAGAAAGTCCGGACAGCAACTGACTCGTCCGTATATTTATGTATGACGGAGAACTGGATCTCCAGCCAATTGATGTGCATCGGAAATATGGACGAAACATAATGGAAGAGGCCCTCTGCATGCGTAAGCGGGGATAGAAGTCTGGGCCCGGACCACGAATAGAAGTTTGGGTCGTCATAACCGGAGCAGAGATAACAATCAAAGTCTCTCTCGGTACTCCAATGGCTGCAAAGCGATTCCCATCCCGGACGCTCGAGGTCTAGCCACATCGTTGGATGAGCAACCGAGGGTTTCCGATGATTCGGTAAAGACTTTTGGCGAGTAGGCTCTGTCCAGTAAAATGAGTATGAAGGGAGGAGGGAAAAGGAGCAGAGCAGACGTACCTTGATTTCAACAGGTGCTGGATGGTGGATAATATTGCTGAGCCCTGAAACGATTATAGCAGTAAGAGGCGGAGAGCTTGAGTTTTTAAGAGATATTATTATGTAAGGACGAATGTGCTTTCTCGTTTCAAAAATTTACTCGATTGGCCATTTGCATCAATCTTGGTCGCCGAGTCGAGCACACAATATAAGAGTGGGCAACGGCTTCTTTGAGCGGCGGTCGGTTGGACAGGACAGATGGGCAAAATGGTCAAGACCCAAGCGCTGAAAAAGGAAGCAAGATTCTGTTTATAATTCTATGGATAATAAGTATATACTTACCCTTCATGAAGACATGGGAACAAGTGTCGGAAACTGGTCTCTTTTCCACACAATATATATCTAATGACCGCCGAGGAGTCTCTCCCAACGCGCTGCGGATCCGGCTCTGGACACGTAGGCAATGCTGTGTATACCCTGCACCCACAAAAGATCCTTGAAATTCTTCGCCCGAGGCTTCAATTACCTGGTAGACATGCATGTTTCACCCATTTTGCCTCCCAGCCGGCGATCTTGTGCCAGTGTTACCATCCAAACCCAGCGCTTTCTGGAGTTGACCAAGCGCCCAGCTCAACTGCTTGTTCCACTGTTTCTGTTCGTCTATACTATTCTCCAATACCCTGTTGCAAATTGTCAGCTCCTTAAATACGTCATAGGACTTCCCCCAAACTGTGTTCTGCTATTATTCTTCTGTTTTCACAATATGAAGGAAAAAGCATGAGACGGGAAGACCCCCAGATGACATTTGACATACTCCATTCGGTCATTTAGCCTAGAAATCGATCAACGACGATTCTTGAATATGTGGCCATCATGACAAGGAATGGGATACTATACTCTTTCAAGAGTAACGAGAGCTCCTCCTGATGATGATCTCCGACATAGTCCCCTTGATTGAATACCCCATTTCCCTCGTTTTGTATGCTATCAGACCATTGATATTCTCTGGGGTTGGAAGGTTCTTCGACGGGCCAACCTGCGTGTAGCTCGTTCGATAGTTGATCGACCTGTCGAGGGCGCGTTCCTAGAATCTCTCGAAGAGCTTCGAGTCTCTCAGACGGAGGCTTTGGGGCATGGCTCCACTGAGAATACCAATTGGACATCTGGTGCGCTAGCTTCCAAGTGGAAGATAGAAAAGAGGATGGATCGACTAGACGGCCAAGGATGGGTGAGATAAATAGTCTGACCGTTTCGCGGACATAAATAGAAAGCGATCCTCACCGCTCGGCATTTCAGCTTAGATTTCACCGAATCAGACAGCCTGTAGTTGGATGGTACGCAAGAAAATGGTGCCTATGGCAAGAGATATTGTAATCTACAGGTTCTTCTCTCTATTCCTTATGAATACCCGCTTTCGCAACCGATACCCGGCGTGGCATATTGTAGCTTCCCAGAGAAGATGACTTCTCTCAAGCCGGCATGCGTTGCTTAAACATTGGGCCTGTTCGGAGAAGAAAGGTCCTGATGCCAGTGCAGTGCATCGAATAAAGCTATGATTGTATGTTCGGGCATCTTGCCGCCCCTGGCATAGATCCATAGTGCTTACCCAACGGTCAATCTGCAATATAAACACAGTGTGTAACTAGTCATTATTTGAATACAGCTGCTTTCCACAGTTTGCCGTCTATGATATGCAAGCCAGAAAGTATCTGGATATAGTTGTTATTCTAGGTATACGGCCTGTCGCAAGATTTAATTCGAGCAATTTTAGCCATTCGCCTTGTGTTCCACACAGCTGCCATAGGAACCGTAGCATCTGACAGATTTCTGACTCGGCGGCCAGGCACATTGCCTTGTCGGACTCAATCTGGAGACTCCAGCAAATCACCCGTCGGGCATGTGGAGAGGAACCGGGGTCCATCCAATGGAAGCCCATCCCAAAGAGAAGAATCATCCATACTGGCTACTTCGAACGTCCAGCCGCTAGCACAGTCATGCTTGCAACGGCATAGCCGCCTTGCTGGCCGATCCCCCACCGCATGCTTCCGGCGAACCAGGAATTGTTGCTGACGATACTGGCCCTGATGAGAAAAGTCCCCGAAGGCCAGGACTTGCAAGGAGGGTAGTCCGGTTGGACCGAACGCCCACTGAGAAAACGAAACAAACTCCCGAGCTTCCACTTTGACCGGGCCCGACCGGACATGTCGCTGGTCGGTCGCAGTCCAGTTAAAGGGCGAAAAGATCCGATACAGAGCGGAGATCTGGCGATTGTGGCGGCTTGTATAGTGACTCTGGCCCTCTTTCCTATGTAATTCGGACATGATTTCACGCCGGAGATTGCGGTGGACTCTTTCTTCTCCACTGAGTCGGATGTGGAGCAGTTGGACTGACGAGTGCTCTGCGACATGGACGAAGAGGTTATGCTGCCCTGGTCAGTGGTATGGTTTCCACGTAGGACATTGTACTCACCGCAATGAGGGGGGTCAGGCATAAACCTAACGCGGTCAGTGAGCAGTGCTGGAGGACCTGGGGGACATCACGGGTCCACCGTGGGGAGACATCGCGAACATCCTCGAAGAATCCCTCCTCGTCTACCGCAAGTAGCTGACGCTCGTGGAAGCTCAAGGACCTCAAGGAGGATCGGTGGTGGAGGATGGCTTCTCGAAGCCCTGGAAGAAAGCGAGGGAAGTTGGTCAGCTTGAGGTGCAGGTGCTGCAGACCACGGAAGGAGAGCAAAAGTTCCACGATGGATATATAGACCAGTCGGTTATCTAATTCGTGGAATAGATCGCTGTTGACCTCGAGCCACTTTAACGGCGGACGGTTCTCCGTCTGCGCCAATAACCACAGGAAGTGCAGCTGGTTGCCACATCGAAGCAGACGCAGCTCCTGCAGCGACTGAAACGACAGAGTTCGCGGGGACGCTAATAGCTCGCTTGGAAAAAGCACGTTCGAGAGGGATAGCGAAGATAGCGATGAAAACGGATTGGGTGGGTATGGGTGATGGGAGAGTTCTAGCCAGGGCTGAGTGAGCTCGGGAACGGTCAGGTGGTGATCCGCACCAGATAGCAGGCACCCGATTTGCAGCTTGCGCAGATGGCTCTGGTTCTGTCGCAGACATTCTCGCAGGGTCTCGATCTCCCAGCGATGCCGAATGCCCTCCCATGCGATCTCCGATAATGATGTCAATTGCGATAGGCCTTGAAGACCCTGTCCTGCATGCGGGCACGTTCCGTCGGTCATCAGCGAGACCCTTCTGATGTCTCTCTGGTGGTGGATCAGATACCCGTTCAGATCAAGTGTGCCCGGGGGCATGCAGGTGGCTAGGTGCCAGCTGTCTCCGTTAGTAAGCATACATGCTAGGAGTGTAAGGCCGTACCAGAATGAGTGAAGTGTGTCAGTTTTGAACAGGGCAAAAATCTGGCCCAACTGAGCGGACAGCTCGGCCATGAAGCCATCATGGGCAGTCGGTTCAGGTCCCAGGACTAACTGGCCGTGTGACACAGGGGCAAGGCGGGGTGTTGTGTGGTACATGCAGCGGTGGAATCTTGCGGTCTGGATTGGAGCCTCTATAACGACTCGTCTGGCAAGTTGCAGGAGCTGGGCGGTCCCTGCGCTGCCATGTCGCCTGAAGAATGTACCGATGTTGAGATCATTCAGAGCCCATTCAAAGCCCGCGCCAAACCGAACCGATTTGTACACTCGGGGTATTAAGACGGCGCGCAATCCTGTGGAAGCCTGACTCATCGATCGAACGGCATGCCATGGTAGCTGATATATAATCAGCATCTGTATGGGTCAGAATTGGAGAAGGCGATAGACATACCAAATCAGCAACCATGTAGAGAATCTCCAATGGTAAGGCGTGCAACATGGCGGCAGCGCTGCGTGGCTTCCGTCCCCGAATATGCGCTCCATTACTCTTATAAAGGGAGTTATATATTTGCAGAATATCTGGATACCATATCATTCCGTAGAGATCGGGTAAACGGCTGATGGGGGATTGAACCTAGCCTCGAGATGATGCATCACCGCTTAACCGCGCTACTACGGTGAATCGGTGGATACGAAAATGCATTGTGTGCATTCTCCGAGAAATGAATTGGTAGTGGTCTTTCACTCTGTTACTAGCTATACTGTGTATATGCGGTCGAATTCGGGGAAAACAGTAACGACCGAATTTCATATCGTAAGTTCGGCTCAAATTCTGCACAGCGACAATAAATCCCTGGGTTTCTAAATACAGATCCTTGCGACAGGTCCATGAATCGGCACACCGGTGCTGGAATACCGATGAGTATTTCCCAAGGTTTGAGCCAACCAAATAGCGATATAAATGTGTTTTTCAATCACATAGCTTTCGGCATCAGTTAGGCCTGGAGCCCAGGTCGTGTCCTGGGGGCCGTTGGCGAGGTGCGATTTTTGCCCGGAGCGAGTATAGGAGAGCTTCGGGAACGCCTTGGCCGAAGCCGCTTCAGCCAGTCCTGACGTACTTGCTCTTGCGCTTTGGCTTTTTGAGCCCGTTTTTGCTTTTCGATGCTGGACCGCCAAAGAGCCCACCATACCAGCTCAGGAGCTTCCCGGCGTGACTCTGTAGGGGGGATGGTGCATGGCGTTCGGATACGCCCTGCTGTGGATCTCATTCGTCGAGGACCCATGCCGTCCAGTGTTTGTAGAGATAGCCAATGTGGCAATGAATATGAAACGAGGGTAATGCTGATGTCACTCCTGCAAAAGCGGTTAGGAAGTTTCCCCAAGGGCTGTGATAATTGTTCAGGCGTGCGGCTTATTATAATTGTTAGAACGAGTTTGTTTGCATTCAATTTGCACTGAGTGCGGATCACGTCCGGAAAAGCTTCACCGACAGTAGTTATAAATGTGCCTAGAGTACTTGTTTGCCCATCAAAAGCGAGTGGTGCTTCCATGAAACCCGTACTTGGCCCGAACTTTCTGCCTGGGACAGTTTGGCAAGAGATTAATGCCTACTACAATGTATCACGCGCCTGGCCAGATGATGTTTGCATCAGGAATTATTTGGGACCGACAGTATCTTTACGTTGCCAGTAATTGCGGCAGTGTCCGCTACATGTCGGCTTTGCTATACATACTAAAAACTGGCGAGCCGCGGGACATTCCCTGCCGGTCGACTTGCTCTGCCATCGGGTTTTCGCTACCCTTTGAAACCAAGGAGGCATTTAAAATCTCAACGTATACTATCATGAGCCGATCATACCGGGTGACAATTGAACCGTGGTCTCCTAGTATTTCAAAGGCAGTTGAATTGCAAATGTGACCAGGGACGGGTCCTGATGGCCACTGCTAGCTTAGAGCCTGGGCAAGGAATACAGATACCCGCTAGCAAGTTTTCATTATTATAATCAACAGCCTCGTTCTTGAAAGCTGGGACGACAGGGCTTAGAACCGAGACGAGAGTTTAGGATAAGCGACGTAATTTTTAAGCACCAGTTTCATAAGATAGGCCCAGCGGCATCCTCCGTCTGCCTAAAGGTTGCCAAACTGCAATTACTGCATCAGTTCGGTAAATTCACCGCTCGAATCAAGGGAGGGAAATATGGTTATTGTCAGGCGTTCTACCAGAAAAAATCCGGGTATGTGGGCGCGAAGGAGAGCAGCATAGGAGGCCGTCTGCAAGTAAAGGGAAAAATGGAAAAAATGGAAAAAAAATGGAAAAAAAAAAGGAAAAAAAAAAAGAAAAAGAGAAAAAAGAAAAAGGAAGGTTCTGGGGCCGAGAAGTTGCTCCGCGTGCAATTCGCGCGCAACTGCCTCCTCCCCTTTCTTTGATTGCCCGGGCATTATTTTGCTTCGATGGGGTGGACCCACTTTGACTTACCCTGAGCTGGGCATCAGCCCATCTGTAACAAAAAGAACCAGAAATGGAAATACCCCATCTCAAATGACTGGCTCCCACCACGCCACCAGGACACGTACTCAGCAGAAGTCTACCCCCGCGATGTACGAATGGGAATTCTATCCCGCGCAAATAACCGTGTATGCTGGTCAGAAGAAGACGAATGCAGTAAAGTATAACCGGGCAAACGACGGGCATTTCTGACGATCCCCTATTTCCACTCCATTTTACCCGGGCAATTACCTAAGGTGAGGATGATCAATGGTATTCGGATATCTGCAATGACTTACTATCCACGCCATTAGGAGGACTTGGCCGGTCGACGGTGGGAATATACCGCTGAGGTCATTTGTTTCGTGTCCCTGCCAGTGGCTGCCACTTGACCAGCAGGCTGACACGTTCTGTTATCGACGCAGTCGCTTCGGATCGAAAGCCCAAGACATACCCGGGCATCTGACCGCGCTTATTGCAAGGGATCTCTCGCAGCGATTACCCTACTCATCAACTAGGCGTCTCTATAATTGTGAAGGGCAACATTATTACATTCCCGTGGTGGAAAGCCCGCGGAGTAGGTAAGGGGATGTGTCCAATCACCGGAAACGGGGAAGGCAGATCTTAGACCATCTGGAGTAGTAAGAATGCCGACAGCATTTCTTATAACGAGGAGGCATTGAGCCATTTAGTATCTTATGAGCACCGCAGCTCTACGATTCTAGTATATAAAGCTCAACATCAACCATTTGCCACCCAGCCTCTGCTCCTCGTATCCAAGCAGTTCACCTCGTTCCCTCCCTTCAAAGAAAATAAACGCCCATATTCATTCGAAAGCCTTACCCCAATTGACTGGTCCGAATAGCCCGATAGAACGATGTCTCAGCCTGTTGTCCATCGTCCGGAGACACCGACCCTCCAGCCGAATTCCCTTCAAGCACTTCATCCCAGCGTTTTACCTGAATACGCTGACGCACCGTCCGATTCCTCAGCCTCGACATCGGAGTGCCCGTGCTGTACGCCGTCCCCATTGCCAGACCTAAAGGATCTCGGCCAAGCTATCCCAGAATGCAGACTCGACACACTGGAGGGCCAGTTCCAGGATTCTGTGAGCTTTCAACCGACTACTGAATTCAGTACCCAAGCTGTGGCAATTGTCCCTCACGACCAACAGGCCAATGGTTACTGGTTGCTAGTCAACTTACTCTGTCATCGGGTATTCGATAAATGTGGAGATCGTTCTAAGATCCGAAATTTCAGCGTGTTCTATTATGGGAAGTTTGGCCCTGGCGACCTCCTGATGGCCGTCTCACGGAAGATTACCCGGGATGGACCGACCTGGCTCGAGGCTACGGTCACCCGAGGAGGCATACTGGTGGCTACCGCAACCGCTTTGTACGATAAGATTCACTCTGACACTATGGACGACGCGCAGGTTCAGGAAGCCAACCAACGCTGAGCTATTGGGTATCTGATAGGGTTTGCAAGTTACCTGTTGCAAAAAGGAAAAATGGTAGATTTTACTTTCGGATGGCTAGCTTCTAGGCAGACTCGACGAATGTGCATGGAATGGATAGATAGTGAACGCCAGAACGATTCAACCTCAACTAATCAATACCGTTCACATATAACGCAACGAAATCTTATCTTTAGCGCGTAGATGCCCTTTCATATGGCTACTAATAAAATATCATACTCATCACCGTGTCGTATGGGTGGAGCTTGATTTGACGTAACACCACGAGTCCTTGCACTTCCCCAGGAGCTACTAGTATTAGTTAGACGGCGCTTTGGAATAATTGAATCAACTAATCATCTGCCCAACACCAGGCACATCAAGCTCATCAGGCTTCAAAAAGAGCAACACAAATATAGGCGGTTTCTGGCTTTTCAGACAAAGGCCGCACTTGTGCCATGCAGGGCGAGCGAATTATGCTTACTGAGCATAATACCGAACGAACAACCGCTTTGTCTCTGCCCATGGGCTCGGAGGGACCATATCATGCGGGAATCTTCCATCGTGCGTCATGGCGCATCTATCGGCTCCGGCCTTCAATAACTCGGCGACTGCCTCCCAAGATCCTCTTTCAATTAGCCTGTGCAATGCTGTGTAACCCGAATGGTCTCGAGAATTGACGTCCGCCCCGTTCACAATGAGCAAGGAACATAGCTCTTGCCCCTGATATCCAAAACAGTCCTGCCCGACATGATGCAGAGGTGGCCGCCCCTGGCTGTCCCTCAGGTTTACCAGAGCCCCATACTCAAGTAGCATAGTAGCCAATCCGACATATCCTCTTCGCACAGCAAGAGAAATAGGCGTCAACCCTTCCAAATTCTGAAAGTTGACATAGGCCCCCAGCGATAGAAGGGTCTGGACGCATTCTTCTCTGCTTTCCCGCTCGATCCCCATCTGTCCCCTGCTTCGGATGGCACTGAAAATCGGTGTTTCCTTCATCGTTCCTTCAACACCATTCACGTCGACCCCTTCGCTGACGAGCCAGTTCAACATATCCGGACTACAGCTCAATGACGACGCGGCTAGGTGAAGCGCTGTTTTACCCTCGGCGTCTCTCGCCATCATGTTGGAACCGCTCTCGAGGAGTGTCTGCGCTTGTTTGATGGCCCCCTTCGAGATTGCGAATAATAGAGGGGACTTCTGCTCAGAGTTCACAGCATTGACGTGGGCTCCGTGGCTGATTAGGGCCCGGATAATGGCTGTGTTATCCTTCCTGCGGCTTCGCGGCTTTGTCGCAGCATAGAAAAGAGCAGTCGGTCTTTCTCTATACCGGTGCGTTCCTCTGAAATTCGGATCGGCACCATAACGTAGCAATACGCGCACCGCGCGTACGCACGAATTGGCAGTTGCTACCTGGAGTGGTGTCATTCCGAAGCCATTCTGAGAATCCGCTGGCACACCAGCCTTTATCAACATCCAAATTATCGCCGGAGCTGCGTTATTCGAAGCAGCGACATGTAAGAGCGTATTTCTGTCCCTCAAGGTATTAGGGTTAGCCCCATGCTCCAAAAGCAATGCCACTTTGGATTCCTGGTTAGTCCGGATTGCCTCCGTCAGCGGAGAACGCTTCTCAAACGCCAAAGCGTTCGGCCTAGCACCGGAATCCAGGAGAGCTTTGGTGATCGCCATGTCGGTCCGGCTACTGGTCGCCACAGACAATGGCCTTCGGGCGCGCAGGTCGGCAGCGTCTGGCAGCGCTCCATTCCCCAGGAGAAGGCGCACAACATGGGTATGCTTATGCAACACAGCTTCTATGAGTGCTGTCGACTGGACCTCATTCGGCGATCGGACGTTGATGTCAGCGCCTGCATCCAGCATTCTGCTTATCCCACGGTCGCACCCCCAAACTGCGTACCATATAAGGGCTGACCCTCCGTCAGATGTGATATTTCTTTGATACAGATCGTCGATGAGGATGTTAAAGAGGTTTTTGTTACCTCTTAAGAGGCTGTAAAGGTCCTTTATCGACGCCAGTTGGTCCGCAATGTGCGATACAATCTCAGGCGGAAGAGCGTGAAAGGGCATTGTGTAGGACTCCCCTATATGTCCATAATTGGTAAGCCCACAGTTGATTCCATCATACAATAAGAACAAGGGTGCTCGCTCTCACCTCGTTCCCGCTCCGTAGCTCAAAAATACTAAGATGGCATTCACAGATTGCCGAGGTAACCGCCTGGTATTTATATATTTGGTTGAGACCTCACCCTTGATAGCGCTAGCGTTTCATAGCACTAGATTTCCATAGGCTTATGTATTCTTTTCACCGGTGTGTTGAGTGTATAAAACAAAATTAGGTCTTCCTGTTTGCAGATCGAGGGGTTACAGTGATCGAACGCTACCCCGAGGAACTTCTTAACACTCCCTTTACTATCGGAGTTTCCCACTGGTGGATTCAGCGATAAGTTGGGGACCCTATATAACGTCAGATACTATGACCCAGGGGCGTGTTGCGCCTTTTGCACGCTCCTTTAACATGGGACACAGATCGTTATGACCGGGCATTTTGTGTGGGCATTTACTTGCTCTGCTGTACAGGAATAGGAATGGCTTCTTAATAGGAACGATACACGCTGCAATCATTTCTGGATCTGCTCATTATATCAGTTGCTCTACAGGACCCCGCGGCAGGTATTGACAGACAGTCCTGAAGTTGCTCGCCCCAATATACTTTCCAGTTTGTGGGCTTATAAAATACTCGGGCAATGCTCATATTGCCAGGAAACAGTGACCAAACAAATAATAAGACGCAGCGAGGTGAGCCCATGACGTAAAGCATTGGTTTGGATAGAGATTACCCGGTAGTGCCCCTGCTGTTGCATAGTTGTAGCCGAGTTCACGAATAGCATTGCTATCACCAAAGCACGTTCATAAGGACTATTTCACTTGGTCCACTGGGCATCTGCTGGCTACACCCTACGCTTGTCATCCACAGTAGCACGCTGCCCTATAATAACAGATCACCATGAGCTCGACTCCAAGCTGTCAAATATGCTTGGAAACGGTTTGTACCCAAGGTTTGAAGGACAAGAGAGCAATGGGAGCAGCAGAAGTGAGGGAATCAAATATAGGCGCACTGTCTGCATATTTTTTAGTGTCTAACTGCCGTGGTAATTGACGTATCCCAGGGGTTGTCGCTACTCCCGTAATTCGAGCCTGAAGTGAAGCTGTCCGGCCACTCTCGCGTTTGGAGAGCCGCCCCGGAACTACGAAACGCACTACGGCAAGATTAGGCGCACGAGCCTGTGGGGAGTATGAATGAAAGAAGCAATAGAATGTGCCGAGTATAGGAATGCCTCTGCCCTCGGGGGTCTGGTAAATCCTCCCTGATCACGGATTGTCGAGGAGTACCCACCCAGAACTTGCATGCTACAGAAAAGGCGCTGCATACTGTGTAGCAGAATGAATAAGGCTGGCAATAGCCAATCCACATATGCTTCCCTTTGCATGAGGCTGTAGATTTCTCGTGCCTCCCTATTCTAGGCCCAAGAGCCTGCGTGCGTAGCGCATATCCGCATCCGAGATGTGATCTCCCCGCTGTAGATATAACATTATGTCCTCCATCGTAGCAGTAGCCGTTTTCACCCGCCACACCCGCCGCCCCAGGAGCCGCTTGACCTCGTGCAGAACATCCGACTCAAGACGGGGAAAGACGCCGATGAGCTGGTTGAGAGTGACGGGTCTCTCGTACGACGGCCCAGGCCAGAGCGACCGCCACCACCGTCGTTCCATTCGCATCGCCGCACTCCAAAGCCGATCAGTCGTAGTGTAAGGATATTGTCCAGCCGGGTCCCAGACATCCCATAATGAACGGAATCGACGATTGATGCTCCTACGCTGGGGGCTCGATACACCTAAGAGCCCTGCCAGTATATCCGGCGTGACGATGTGACGAAGCGTGCGATGCGATCCGGGGGCAGCCGGCTTTGGGCACTCCATCATGAGCCGATTGTGCTCCACCGCCCACTGGGCCAGTGCCATCTGTGTCGGACGGAGATCGGGCACCACACGCTGCAACCAGTCCACGGTAAAAGGCCCATAGATCCGGAGTCGTGCAAAGTTTGCCTCTTCGTACGTGAGACCCCACATTCGTTCGACCAGTGTGACCAACGTAAAGGAGGAATCCTGAAAGATTCGTGCTTCGTCGATCCACAGCTGCGCACACTCGAGCTGTGCTGGGGACAAGCATGGCAACACTATTCGGACATGATCCAAGACGAGTGGAGGACGTAGACTGGCCGATAATTCTGGTAAGGGTTGCGGAGAAGCTGTCATTGCAGTGCGCAAAAGTTAGTCCAGTAAACTCCAATACAGCAGCAAGGGAAGAACGTCAATTAATGTCAAGCCTTCAGCTGGCCATAGTACGGGCAGCTATGAGAGCAAGAGAAGTTTCAATCTTTAGCCTACATGGCTAGAAACTTAGCTATAAGAACAGCATTCTAATCTCGTGTTTACTCGCTGAAAAAGGCATAAAAAAGCGGGCTTTTCCAAAGACCATCTTTTCATGGAATAAGAATGCAAAGATCCCTGCCCGACTTCCTCGCGCGTGCAACCGGGCCTCTCGCCAAGTGCGCATAATCACGAAAGCGATGGACTGTTGAATGCTCAACGGAGGACATCCCCATCGGAATGCAAATAGAATATCCCTCTGTAAGAGCTCGTATCAAATTGGCACCCTTAGCTACCTCATTTGGGGCTTCGGTCATTTGGGGCTTTGGCTCGGTCATGAATGTTTTATTAGAGCTTTTGGATCTGCTGTCGAGCAGCGCCCAGCCCCTGTGTTGCATCAAATGGCTCGGGCCTAATAGTGAGGTCGCCTCTGCCCGGTCATGGTTCTAGCTTGCACATTCCCCGGTTAAGGTGCACGCAGTAGTTCCAAAGCAATTTTGGTCATCTGCGGCACTAGGAATTCCCCAATGAAGGAATCCTCAAGACCTGTCTCGCTAGTACGAATGCTCCCCAATCACGTTAGACCGCGATTTCTTTCTGCCCCTCATTGTCTGCAAGGCGTCGGGTCGGATTTTTCAGTCACTATGTGCTCCATTGTTTAACCGCGAAGTTCGCCGAAATTCCAAACTATGATGGTCCCCTCCGCTGCGCAGTGAGAGGTTCTTCTTGACATGGGCGCCAATGACTGGACAATGAGGAATGATCGCACTGCCCCTCTGTGAAATACATATACCAACTACCATAGGTAACTACCCTATTACGAAACATATTATAAACTGCCGGTCAAAGGTGTGTTTGATTGTGGTGGGTCTTTTCACAGGAGCCTGCATCTGCCCATATTCTTCCGTTCTCAATCGCTCCAGTTAAAGCAGGCCATGAGGCATCTCAATAGGAAGATGGGCTTTAGACCGCAGGGAATCAAGATTTGCGCCGCGATCTAACCGGCAAGTCTCTATCCTGTTGTCTTGATAGCCAATCCCATAGATGACTTTGGCGTCCAAGGACCTTCAGAGACGGCACTGGTGGTAACGTGATGTCGGCCGCACATGTCGGCCCATAATCCGCCGGTGTTTTGTGCACAGCCGGTTGGGGTCGTTCCCGTTGGATCCATCAATATAGAATCTCATTGCAGGCAGCCGGAAACTCACAATGTTACAGTCAGTTGGGGCAGGAATGTAAGGATGCGATCGATACGTGTAGATCCGGCCATTTGGCATCTCCAATATGGTCCAACTGCGGATCCCGTACAGCCGCCAGAAATCATTATGGCGACGGAGGAGATTATTGCGCCGTTTGCGAATTTGTTCCTGCTTCACCCGATTTTGTGAAGACACCATCTACGCATACCGCAGAATTATCGCAGGGTGGAAACGAGTGCACGAGCGTCCGGGCTATATAAATTCATAGCATTGTGGTTATGTGGGGACGGCTACCAGCCCGATAGTAATGGCCGTCTAGATTTAGATGCAGGCGGGTTGAATCGAAAGCTTCACCGTGCAATCAGGAAAAGAAAGAGGTCGAGTGGGCTTTTCCCAATTTTACCCTTTCGTGAATATTGAGGCCTGATGGCTGAGCGTCATTTGTACCAGACAATTGATTAAATCGTCTGCCGACTCTGGCACTGAGAAGGCTGCTACGCATGTCGCTCATGCTCATATGACCGGTACCGGAGGGTGGAAGGGAACATAGTATCCCCCCTCCCATTGTGCTGGGTTCAAATCTTGGACGCTAATACAATCACCAACAGCTCCTTACTATAGAGCCATCGGTATCGGTGACTCCCATATCTATCGTGTGCCGTTACAGTACGTTTGTCAATTTGACTCACGCACTATCCAACATATTATCAGATCCTAGACTGTTATTCTAGCTCAAGACATATGTCGCCCGGAACCCAACATCCAGTTCCCTTTGCCGGTCAAACTCGGTATATAGAGATGCTTTTAGAGGTAGATTACATGCCTTGGACGTACAACGCTATAGCCAGCATAGCACATTGGACCTTGCTCGCCGGGTATCTCATAGCCCCTGGGACGTTCACGGCTCTACAGAAGTCTGGTCAGGTCCAGAACGCTCTGGCAAAGGACCAAGTCGGACAGGCAGTGCTAAATACCATCCAAAACCCCCCACTTTTGGCGATTGCCTGTATCCTGTTTGTTGTGTCTACAGCAGCACTAGGGTGGCTCTACTGGGAATGGTGTAACAATTACATCTGGCTCGCTCATCGACTCTTCACGTAAGCGGCCCTTCCCTTTCCTGCTTTGCGTGAAGCGACGAGACTGACCCGAGCCCAGGCCCATCATCATGAACGCAGCTGCCGGGCTTGCCACTACTCTCATCAACATCTACACCGCGCGGGATGGTGATTGGTCTATCATGGCCTTGATCACCACTATCATAACCGGAGTCACGCTGGTGACGTCCTTCTCGCTGGCTATGGTATTCAAGTTTATCAAACTCAAAGAGGTGCAAGAAGCCCACGTGCGTGAAGTGTATCACAGTGGTCCAGAGCGAAATGCCTGAATCATGGGGCTCAGTGTTTCCGCCAGCAAACGGACGCACCAATTCTGTCCATTTACGTGCGGCGACTAGCCTTCCTACGTTGAAACTGTCCTTTTTGTCCTGCCAGTGAGCCAACTCCATTGCCTCTGTGGGCTTGGTGTTGCACGGTGAAAACAAGAAAATCGGCACATTGAGGGCTAAATAGAATAGCTTGACTTTAAGGAATAGCTGGCACTTCCTCCGAGGGCACAATTCATGAATATTGCAGTAACCTGCCTAGATGAACGCAAAAAAAGGCTCCCAACAATGTCTGTCCACTGCGGATCACCCGCTGACAGCACGGTTGCTTGGTCGATAAATCGCCGAAGTTTGGCCATGGCTTTTGAGGTTCCTAAGTTGTATAAATAGTATTACTTACAGAAGATTAGGATGAACAAGACCTTCATCGCCTAATTGCTTGCATATTCGATTATTAGTCATTCTTTTGATCAACCCGTCCAGCCATACCTTTTAATGCACTTCCCCAGATCACACATATATTACCATAAAAAGAAAAAATAAAAATAACAGCACAAGCGGCAATTTTATTGAAGAAATACAGCATTCACGCGAACATTAGAAGTGCACCCGTTTGATAGGGATAGACACACAATCTGTTTCAATGTCTCGACTATGACGAAAGAGAAATAATTTTGTCTTACCCACATATGGACCCGAGCGCTTAACTCTTCCCCTTTCAATATGCGACGGATTAGAAGCATAGATATAAGGAAGCCCGTCCGTCACCCAATTTCGACCTGGCCTATCGCTCCTTATGCTCCACGGCAAGTAAAATCTCATGCCTGAGAAGAGGAGAATGATGCCAGGCCCGTAATCTGCGAAGGTTGGTATAAAAGTCGAATCAAACTGGTCGAATACCTTAACATCAACATGATCACCACGTATTGTAGTGCTGAATTGGCCATTCGCGGCCGGGACTAAATCTGCAAACTCCGGGGGATACTGTTTGAATATTCGTTCTTCGCTTATAATCTTTATAAAATCAGAAAGCTCCCTGGTTCTTTCCTTGCTGCGCCCCCGGAATATGCGCCGCAATTTGGAAGCCTTCTGGGCATATTCTGCCGATCTGGGAGGGATTGCTATGACCCATACCTCCAACGGCCCAGGGGAGTGGTTGCTCGTTGCATAGTACCCAGTTGGGTCCCGAATCCGTTGATTCAGCAACGTGGTGTCGGGCCCCAGAATTAGAATCTGGCATCTCTCACGCTTCCAAGACTCGAATGTTCGCATTGTTCGGTCTATATCTCTAAGCGGATGAAGGAATGCCTGGTGTAATGACGGCGAAGGTTTGACATGAAGAGCTGCGAGCATCGCACTCACATCTGATGCTGATAGGGCGGTCATCAAACGGCGGGATATTTCGTAGAATCCCTCATGGGAAGCAAATTGCCTGAGCTGTTCGCCTGGGGACGGCTTTCCTCTGGTGGGATTTGGGTACTGAAGCGAAACTGACAACATTATAAGACTTCTTTTCTCATAGAGTATCATATCAGTTGCAAGGTTCACATGAGTCGAAAGGATATCGAGTACTCACAGGCTCAATGTAGATTGTAGATCTTTGAATCCAAAGTAATAACTGACGGAATATGCCGAACTCGAAAGCAAAGTGCCATGCCAGGCCAATGGGCAAGGTCGCTTTTATAATGTATCGCCAGCAAAGAATAGCCGACCCTTATTATCAGCCGCAAAAGAACTTGACGGTCACTAGTAATATAGCTTTGACTCTTCAGAACGGCCGGTTTTCTTCTAGGATCATCTAAATTTCTGGGAGCCTTAGCCTATTCTTGAGAACTTGAAACTCTTAGAGGGGATCATCATGGCCAGTAAAGCGGCCGGGAAAATGCTTCCCCATGGGCACTGGAGCACTAGGATACACCAGGTAGGCCGAATGTAACAGGATTCTTCCACGCCGTGCTGCCCGGTTCTGTCCATCATCTACGGGCCGGGCCAGAGAAGGTCGATGGCCGTAAAACTTAGCTTGTGAGGGGCCTTCCAAATACCCGCAAGCAGCCGAGGTGAGCTCATTGACGCGGCGTGCGCCGATGCTTTATTGTGCAGCCGATGGCCATGTAGCCGGAAAATCGGGGTAAACACGAGAGAGTCAGACAGATAATGATACTAAGCAACATAGTTGAGAGTTTGGTGAGATACTACAACAGCTAGCTTTGTCGTGACCTATGTACATTTCGCATGGATACAATTACTAATTCGTGATGGTATTGCCCATGAGAGGTAGGAACAAACTTAACGCTACTAGACTCGTTAGATGCTGTATGCTATATGTACATCGTTCATCTGATCCGACCGCCATCATACCATCGGGTTTATCCTGAAATCCAATGTATACACTCGGGGGGGGGGTTCCTCTTCATGAAAATCAGGATGGTGAATAGCGGTTAGGCTCTCTTCTCGACCGTTGAGATCGACGAGGTGGCACCGACAAATCCCCAGCGCTGGACTCTGATGGGATCTGGGCCGTCCTTTCCGCCCCTCGGACCTCCGACGGTCCGCGGTCTGCAGCCATGCCCGAGGTATATACGGCGTTGTACCGTCGTTTCTCTCGACTATGGGATTGTTAGCCGTAAGTTAGACGGTAAGGGCAGACAGTACTTACCAGACAGGACAGTATGAGTTGCCTCTTGGCAGAGACTGAAGCCATGACTCCATACAGGACAAGTGGATATGTGTTTTACATCGTTCGCAAGTCAAACTCACGGGCTCCTCCGGAGTTTGTATCTCTGTGCAGATGCAGCATGCCTGACTTGGCTGTCCCTGCCCAATGGACCGGAGGACCAACGATGCATCCCTGCCGTTTGGGGAGTTTGATGGCCCCAATATGACTTCGGCAGGCTGACTGGGGGAGACGCTGAATGGCACATCCTCCCGCCGCAGCACTTCGACGCTCATCTGTTGGGCTTCGGGCCGAGGAGGCGCGCTGTCGATCGTCATGGGGCTGGGCGGCTCGAGGGCGAGGTCAACAGGGTCATGACGGGAGCCGGTGGCGTGGCGGTCGGGGACGAGGACGGCTGGCCGTCGACGCTGATATTCGCGGAGCCATGCTTTGACAAGTGCCGGCGCCTGGTTTTGATGATTTCTCCGACATAGTAATAAGTGCGATACCTTGCTTAACTTTTGCTGGAGGACGCTCGGGCTAGGGGCGTGCTCGGCCAGGTCATCTAGAAACGTGAGGGCAAGATCCCTGGAGTCTCTTGCGACCTGGTTGTTGCACTTCTGTTTATCTTTTCGAAGTCCGATACATGTGGTGACAACCCTGGGGTCAGGGATGCCATAGGCATCAATCGGATCCCATGTAAATGCCATTGTGAAATATTGTCGGAACAGATGAAGTTGTAGTACTCCTAGACAAGAAATACCTTTCCGTCGATGCCAATAACCTCAGCTTTGTCCCTGGGAGGAGTACGGAATATATAATTTGGCCAAAGCTCTTTGTGGAAATGAATGCTCACGCCACGGCTCTCCGGAAACCGATAGATAGATCACAAGAGCGAGCATATTCCTGGGAGCCATATATCGGCTCAGTGGAATGTTGCAACTGCTCTCGGGGGTCTAGATTGAGTATCTTGGGGTACAATGAGTTCCTGCGATAGAGAAGTGCCTTCTTGCGTTTGCCCAGCCCATGGTGATTTCTTTGGCGCCTACAATGGCCGATTCTCATGCAAATTAGTCCAACATAAAATGGCACTCCAGCACGCTACGCCATGCTCGAAATAACCATCACTCCTGTGGCTGAATATTCGAGCTTCGCATCATGCCCTCTATGCAGGATCTTCTCAACTCGATCTATCCTTTACACCATGAACGATGTATCGCTTCCTCACCTGATGGTGTATGTCCGGGGCAGATCGATTCTATCAAGCGGGGCTTTGCGGAAAGAGAGCTGTCCTTGGCGAATCAGGCGTCAAACCCGAAACGCCGGGCGACAGGCTTCGAGAACGCAGCCAGGCTGATGATATGCGACCGCCATAAGGATACCTCAAGAGAGGCTCGAAGGGTTGCGCGTCAGTGGGAAGAGGAAGCAGCACAGAATTCCAACGCTACCATCCATCCGTCGCCAGCAAGCAACTCTCGTCATACAACCAGTCTCTATAAGGACCAATATTTATCGGCTTTATGACTAAAAGCTGTACGCGCCATTCAGCGGTCATCTAAATTCCAATGATCCTGTTACCCCACCACATCTAATTTGAAGTCCATGACCGGTTCGCCTCGATCAGCCCTTCTTACTTCTTCCACCGAACATCAGCGCTTCATCAAGCAAGAGTCTACCACATTTATACGTCGTCATTGTTTAATCATTGTTTACTGGCCACCTTTGAATTAAGCCAGGTGTGCTGAGGCCTTGGGCATAGGATCACCGAAAGGCATTGCGATCGATCGAAAACCTACAACATAGCCCGACATTTCTGGCGCTTCTTTCTACGACAGTCATAGCCAAACTATATTATTACGATCTCATTGGCGCAGTTCAAGTTTAAAGAGACTTACGGGGCGTTCGGAATGGACGTACAGAGGCATTCCTTCATGAGGATACCATACCATCTAGCCAACTGGATAGTCTAATGAGGTGGCGAACCGAGCAGAGAGCTTTTTTGTTATTTCGATGTATACTGTAATTAGCTTTACGTAGCAGGTGGGAGTAAATTGGGCGCGGATAAATTTGTTACCATTTACTTGTTATGCATGCCCTGGCTGAAAGGGCGATCATGTTTCGCAACCGCTTTTACCTGATCTACGTAAGACAAAGTTCTGAGTATACTGTATACAGCCCCGGGATTTTGATTTTATGCCAGATAGAGAAGCTTGTTCGAGATACAAAAGAGCCGAGCGTTCGTGGCTTTTTCAAACCCCACCTTGGGAGAGTAAATTCATCACGTATGGTACGATGGCCTAGCAATATAGTAAACAAAACACATTCATAAAAAGACATATATCCTTCCACATTCCGCCCACGGCCTTCTCTCCACCGTGCGAATGTGTACCGCCGCACGAGCGTAATTTCCGACTAAGCCGCAGTACTAGCGATATCTGAAATCAGGCCAGACATACCAAGCAGCATGTTTCAATTTGTTTGGCAGGCTAGTTGGGCGATGGAGCATGTGAGCGCCGTCGGCGTTCATATTCCGTATCCGCGTCCCTCCCCGTTTGGTATGCTAAGGATCGTGGCTCAGGTTGCTCTCTGTTCTCCGGGAGTGCCGGTCGAGGTAAACCGCTCTCTTCTAAAGCGACCTGGAGCCGTAAGGATAGCCATCGTGCACGACAGAAACACCTCGGCCGCTTCATTCTTTAAAGGCAAATTTTGGCAGCCAGGTCGATTCGATAGCGGTATAGCAGAATGGCAGCAGAAGTGTGGGAATGAGAATCGGTGGCAGAGTTGACCATTAACCGTCGCCCAGCTATATAACTTTGGCGACGTCGGTAATCGTTATCATATAGAATCAAGGGCGGGATGCTCAGAATCCTATGAAGGAAAGTGGTCAGTTTTGTGCGTCAGGCTCCTAGCTTTAACTAAGCAACACGCCATTCTCCCGCCTAGTAATCCCACATTAGCAGAATTGCGCATTGCTGCGCTCCCCATTGTCACACCTTCTAGCTGCCCTTTCGCGGCCCTCAGGTTTACCTTCAATCGTTTCCATTACTCGACCAATACATCTTCAGGAACCACCAAGCGCCATAGGTGACCGGTGAGTGCCAACAGGCCTCTTAATGTTGTAGTGTAATTAGACGAACACGGATCTGAGGCTCCCCCTACTTGCAGCAGAAGATGCTCTTGATTTTCTTTATAACACTGGTAGCTTTCTCCCGATGCCAGCACCCCTTCTACGGTTCGCTCTCCCAGCCAGAGGATAATCTCAAGTATATTTTAATACATTATCTAACTTCTCCTTCACCCTTGAGCTATTGACCCTAACCAACTATGGTCATATTGTAAGATGATTGCTGAGAACCTGCAAAGGATCAGACCCCTTGCCTGTGCCTCTCTGTCACCCTACGACCATTAGTACCAAGAGTTTCCAAAGTTCGACATGGAGTCTCCGGGGGAGGCATAAGAGGCCCCTAACCTTTTATTCCATGATATAATATGAAATCCCGCTGATAACGGTAGTCAAGGCACCTGGCGTGCAAGTAACTTATTTCTTGCTTCAATTGGTCAACCGTGTTGACTAATTCGATCTGCTCTTGGTTCAGCTTCTCAATCCTTCCAGCTGACTCCATCAAGGCTCGCTCTCTTTTTGCATTAAGCTTCCTGTTGTTCCGACATCTCTGCGATGCAGCTCTGTTTGCTTCCCGCTTTGCAGTCGAACTTGATGGGATGAACTGGCAAGGTATTGAGGGTCCAGACATTTGTAACCTATAAACAGTCTCTTTCAGTATGTTTCGTTATTAGCCGAAATTCAATCCTTACGGTGTCAAATTGGCCAAAGTGTGTTGAGTTAAATCATAGAGCTGTAGGCACCAGCGAGCTGCTGAATCCGTGGAAAGAGTATGAAGTGAGCCTTTCGCCGTTTATATAACTACCTTAATCTGCGGGGATGTGTTCCTTGTTTACATTCCACCGTCAGCGGAGCAGAGACGATGGAGCGCTATACTACATTGCGTCGACTCAGCGAAGGCGCCCCGGTTAGAGGGATAAAGGTGTGTTCTTAGGATATTAGCATGCGTTCCGGAAATAAAGGGTTTTCACAGGAATTACAAGTCTGCTATTGGGCAAGCGAGATATGCTGAGACTCGCAGACCGAAATCTTTGCGTTTTTCTCTCCAGTCATGACAGGGTTCTTTCAACGATACTTCTACTAGAACCAATCCTTTGGCAAATCTAGTAGTAATAGAATATCCCAGCAAGTGCGCGAGAAAATAGTCTAACTTAAGGATAGCGATCCTTATAGACTCTTTACGGCGTTGGCAGCTTCGAAAAATATACTCCTTAGGCGGCTATCTTAGGGGGGGCGCAGAGGAGCTCAATCAGCCTGACCGTTGTCATGAGACTGCAGATAATAGAAACTCGTTTGCTCTACGCCCAACGCTAATGAATTGGCAATGACGCACTGGTCTCGTGGATCGTTTTGTAAAATTGTCACAGAAGCATATAGAAACGGGCACACTACGACACAGATAGAGTTTCGAATTAGAATTACGACGTAAATCCTATACTGTATGAGATTCTGCTTGAAAATTGGGAGTAAAAAAGTTATCTTTATTATATCGGCCTCCTGATCTACTGGGATAGCTTCGGGCTCCACAGTATCAGAATCTCAGGCAAGCGGGAGACAATAGTTCCGGCTTAATGCAATCATGTCCTTGTGATTCGCCTACATATCAGAAGTCTACTGCACAGCCTGCCTTCTTCCACTACACAGACATCCAACCTGCGTCTCGGGAGGAAAGCTCGATGATTGCGCCCGGCTTGTATCTGCGCTAGATGCATAGCAAGCTCGCGACCAAACTGAACCTGAAGTCTCAGCAGCGCCCGCAGGGCGCTGACTCGTATCCTCAGTTCGTTGGCGTCGGATCCCACAGACAAATTGGAGAAACCCCTTTTGGAAACGGACGATGGCCGAGGTGATGAAAACCAAGATGGCAACACTATTTTGATGGGACCGTAACCGCATGTCACAGGAGAAGGATAGGAAATAGCGATTAAGTGATTGATTGAGAGTTAATAGACGCAAGCTCCTGTTTAGTCTATATGTTGCCACAGCTAACAGGAGAATCTTTCCGAATATAGTTCTGCAATTCCCCTGGTAAAGGCTTAAAGGAATGGGCAAGAACGAAAAGAAAAAGGGAAGTCGAGTGGTGCGTTGCGACCGTTCAGGTTAAATAGAGTGCCAGTCTAGGTCCGCATCTACAGCTACTACCTAACGTAATTCCCGGGCGACCCGCCCACCTCATCCAGAATCCGACCGCATTAGCTATCATTAGTCTCTAACAGCCACCATGACCCCAAAATTGCTTCAATCTCATCAAAATCTCGTTGAGCAAGAGGGCAGAATCCAACTTGCAATTACAGCTTTAAAAGAAGGCAAAATCCGTACTATTCGTCGTGCAGCAACAGTTTATAATGTTCCCCGGTCAACACTCCGCGATCGCATGGCATGTCACCAATTTCGCGTTGAATCGTGTACCAACAGCCTCAGGCCCTCTGAAACTCAGGAAAATACACTTATCAAATGGATAGAGTCGTTAGACGCGCGCGGGCCCCCCTCCCCCCGCCTCGCCATTCACACGTGCAGAGAGTGGTTGGGTTGATCCTTGAGGCAGAGGGGGCCTCCTCATCCATTTCTATCGGCAAGAACTGGGTTACTGGCCTCAGAAAACGCCGCCCCGAGATCAAATCGCGCTTTGCAAGAAGACATAACTACAAAAGAGCCAAATGTGAGGATCCAAAGGTCATACGGGAGTGGTTTAATACCCTACAAGAAGCTCGATTGCAGTATGCGATCGCGGACGAAGATATCTATAACTTTGACGAAACTGGCTCCGCAATGGGTTTTATTGCAACAAGAGTAGTAAGCAGGGCTTTTATGCCTGGAAAACCACATCTCATACAGCCAGGCAAGCGCGAATGGGTGACAACGATTGAATGTGTCAATGCAAAGGGGTGGGCGATACCCTCTACTATCATTTCCAAAGGAAAAGTTCATATTGAAGCATGGTTTCAAGAGACCACGGGCTTCCAGTTGACTGGAGAATCGAATTAAGCAAAAATGGATGGACAGCAGACGATATAGGCCTGCTGTGACCCCAAAAAAGTCTTCATTCCTGCAACTACAGGGTGTACAGTTGGCCATTATCGACTACTTATTCTTGACGGTCATGGTAGCCATTTAACTCCAGATTCTGACAAAGCTTGCAGTGACCACAACATCATTCCTCTTTGCATGCCTGCTCACTCTTCGCATCTTCTTCAGTCTCTTGATGTAGGCTGTTTTGGTCCTGTGAAACGGGCATATGGTGGTTTAATTGAAGCAAGAAGCCGCCTGGGATATAACCATATTGTTGGCCGTCTCTCTAGACGTAATTTCTAGTAATGTACCCGTAGGAATATCGGATGATGAAGGTCTGATTCTTTCAATCTAGCTGCAAACGGTGGTTTAAATACATGAAGAATAATGAGCAATCTAGGAAAAGGCAACTAGAAGAATATAACTTTTAAACCATGGAAATAACAGGAAAATCTACATAATCCTCGGGGATTGGTAGTTACCCATACCGATGTCCGGAATAGGAAGGTCTCCTATGTAACTAGCGGTCACATACGGTTGACACATATCGATAAACTTGACTTCTTATCAGCGTATCCCAACGCTCACCGCGAGGTCTTTAAGACCTCTAATATTCAAGGCGGCTTTGCTGCAGCGGGTATAAAGCCATTTGATCCGCAGAGAGTACTGGAAAAGTTGTATATTTCACTGGCTACGCCAACCCCCCCCCCCAGCCTTGGAGTGGCATCTACAAGCTCCTCAACGCTCACGACGCCGCATGCAGTTCGTCAGCTTAAGCGTCAAGCCTCTTCGGTCAAAAAGCTCTTAAAAAAAGGGATCCCAGAGCCCTTCTACATCGTTAAAACATGCACTACAGCAAATAATTAAGGGCTATGAAATTGCTTTATACAACGCCGCAAAGCTAGCTAAGAAAACCATGATCTCCGCGCTGCAAATGAGAACGAGAAGCAGAAAAAGAAACGGTATAAACGAAAAATGGCTCCTACAGAAGGCTTTTCAGTACAGGAAGGTAGAGATCGCGTGGCGTTGAGAATTAGTCAATTAGATATAGAAGAATAGTCAATTAGATATAGGAGAGGGCGCCTCGACGAGTTCTGCACCTCGATCTACGGACGCGCCAAGACGCGCTCCACCACCAAGGTGCTCTAATTGTCATATTATAGGACATACAAGAACTAGTTGCCCTACACGAGTAGACCGCTAAAATTAAATAAAAATCGCGTTGTCGTGTAGTTGCGAATAGCTTCATGTTCTGTAGGCAGTCGGTTCTGGAGGGGGGTGGGCGGGTCGCCCGGGAATTACGTTATGTAACTAGTCGCTGACTAGTTAACTACGCAATCAGTCTCTGCTTAGCTTGTAGAAGGTTATAAAAGGCCTCCGTCCCCTGCCCGTCCCCTGGACGGAGTATGCAACAGGCGAGCTGCGCCACAAGTAAGTAAGTATTTGTCCGATTATAAAGCGAACTAACCAAATGCCGACTAATGACCCTAGTTCTGTCATAGACTCTTCACTATGTTACCGCTTACGCCTGTCAAACCGCTTATAGAAACTGCCTTCTATGAGGCCTGTTCGGCTGGTACATTAGAAGAAGTTATCCAATATGTGGAACATCAAGGTTGTACACCAGAAGCGCTTCGGCATGGCCTAATCAAGTCCGCCAAAAACGGTCAGCTGGCGATTGTTAGGTACCTCCTCGACAAGGGTGCGAAGATTGATCAAGTTGTCACGATGAAGGCTGCAGAGGGACGATGTCTCGAAGTCTTCCAGGCATTGTGCGACCATGGATGGGACGTGAATGAGCCAACTTTGTTTGGCAAAAATATCCTGACGTTAGTATATTCCATCCTATCCCATTTCATTTTCTCACATTAGCTGCCCCCGAACACCCAATTCAGACATCACATCGAACCTTTCTAAGATAAGTAGGAACTAATCAATCTTCAGTCTCGCCATTGATGATGAGAAACTGATTCGATGGCTCCTTGACATGGGTGCTAACCCCAATCATGGAGCTGCTCTTTTCAGCTCAGGGGTTAGCAGAGAAACTGATGCCAAGTCGGGCGAGGTGCTGAACGCAGCTGCTGAAGGGGCCTCTGTGGCAGTGCTAAATCTACTTCTAGAACGGGGTGCCCAGCTAGAAAGAAGCTATCCTCTCCATTTCGCCGCTAAACGTGGACGAGTTGATGTGATTCAGCGTCTATTAGAGCTGCACGTGGATATCAACGGCTTTGATGAGCTACGTGGACCCTATAAGATTGGTACTCCTTTGCACTATGCCGCCAGATTCTGTCATGCTGAGACAGTACAGTATCTGTTGGATAAAGGCGCCGATCCAAACAAAGCTGGCCTAGAGAGTCTTTTGCGGGAGGCAGAACCCTCTGTGGAGATAACTGAGATTATCAAGAACTGGATAACACAAGGATAGCTATACAAACTACCAACAAACAGGCCACATATTGCTCTAGGATCAACGTGCTACCCTCGGAAGTTTGGATCAAGCGTGCAAATCAATAATTGAAGACTCTGCTGGGAGTGTCTTTATTATGCCGTATATTCGCTAGCTAGGATTTCTATTGTTCTAGTGTCGCCACTTGCCCACGTATAATTATGGAGTCTTTGGTGATAAATTCATGTCCACGCGATTAAGCCATCAAAAGAAAGAAATCTTGGTAGCGGTGAGAATATTTTCACGAAAAGCGCGCTGTTTCGGAAGAATGTAACCCAGGCATTATGCAAGCAATTAGTAAAGTTTCCGCCCTTCTCTCTCTTGATATGTAGTTGGCATTTTGTAGTTTATCTACTCTAATTTGAAAACTGGACATGCAGTGATATCGAATGTTGCTGTTCAGAACCACTGTAGATAGAATTTTTATAGATTGCAATGGCGCGGAAGCCCCATTCAGTACATTATATAACAGTCCATTTGTCGATTCTATTCAAAAGCGTCCATTAGCAATTATCAAAATTTCATAACCGACGAAAAGAAAGTGAAAGAAAGGGGGGAGAGGAGAAGACAAAAAGGATCGTAGGCTATCTTAAACATACCGGAAGGCTGTCAGGAATGTCGAACAAGCTACCTAAGAAATTGATGCCGGGTATGATGTCAAGGAATTCCTTGAGCTGCTCTAGGGCACTCCCATAATCCCAATCGCCAACTTCACAGTAAGGGGGCGTTTGACCTTTCTCTGTTCCCGAATCATGCTTGGTATCAAAACTAAACCCATTGACCTGAAAGAGTAATTGGGAATGGTCCACTGGCATGGGGTGCGCAGGAACCCCTATGGGCGTTCGCTTGTAATTGGCATCGTACATAAAGGATGCCTCGATAGTTATTGAACTTTGTGGATAATTCAAAACCGGGATGGTAAGATTCTCACCGAACCTGACCCGGACATCCTTTGTGCGGTTTGCAACAATGACGCCATCAGTATCTTTCATTACTGCTCCAACATACGCGATAGGTGCCACCGCCGCTGTCTCCCAGGCTTCGTAAACGTGCAAAGTAGCCGTCCCAGGCTGAGGATGGAGTGTCTCCACGATGCTAGAATCGCCCCCACATTCGATTATGCTGAGACCCTCCGAGTACGTCGAGGAGGGCTTCGGACAGTATGTAATAATCATGCTTTCGGTGCGAAAGAATGGTGTTATTGTTGTTTCTCTGGCGGTAGAGCTGATTTGCGTTGCTGATATTCTCGGCGGAGCAGTCGTATAGGCACAGAGATTTGCACCAGATTGGCTAGACATCGTCGAGGCATAGTACGTGGAAGTTTTGTAAGTGCAAACACACGCTGGCTCATCCACGTCTGGTCCAGCCCTTGGTTTTACGTTAGCAGTACGTTGCATGGAAATGAAGCTGGGATAACGTACTTAATAAAACAGGGGGGTGTAGTCTCTGATAGTGACATGGAGGTCGTGCTTCCCGTCAAAGGTGTAGGCCTTGATTGAGCTGACATACCGGGAGCTGCGCCCGATATCTCTGAAGAGACTTCGGATGCCTGTGTTGATAGGGTCTTCGACTGTTTTGGGAAAGCCGAAAACGAATTTTGCGTAGTTAAAACAGTCGGGCTTGATACGTAGTTGGGCCCAGGCTTCGTAATGGTTGCCACGGCTGACCTAGTTGATGTAGGCCTCACGGTGCCTTCTGTGGGAAGGGATGAAGGAGGATTTGCGGTGTAGAATGTTCTAGCCGGTTCTGAGCTATGATGGCCGAGGGCGAAAGATGGTAAGGAAGACTTCGATGTGGCTGAGCTAGATACAGCACAGGCATCACGTTTCCAATGGCTGTTGAACACCATCTGGTCATCGTACGCTGCCCAGTATCTCTGATGGATCCATATTGGCTTATCTTCTACCCAGAGTCTTTCCATAGCTTTCTGTATAGGACAATCGCCATTGGCTGGGCTGTCATTTTGAGCGGGGTCATATTGGAAAAGGATCTTTCCCTTCGGTGAGACCGCGTTGTCGCCTCCACTGCGGGTATAGGTAATCGGGAGAGGAGGTATGCCAACACCTAAAATGTCTTTCACTGTGTCGACGATCTGATACACTTTGGCGTCATACGCCTTATCGTAATCCGGTCGGCCTGCACCTTCTGGTCTGACGACATAGGCGGCGGGCCTGTAATGTGGAGCAAATGGTCCATCCTGTCCAGTGTACTGTTTTAGGCCTGATATCTGAGGCCCGCCGTCGACAAGCTCATCCAGAACCCCTTTCCTGAACTGATCTTGGGATCCGATTTCCCAGCTGCCCGGACTAAAGAAAGGGACCTCCCAATGGTGTGACATCCAAACAGCCCGTTCTGATACCACAACAACTGAAGTGCACCCGTAAAGGCCCCGCACCACCATATTGTACGGCTCATTCTTCAACTCATGAAACAGTGCGGAAGAGACTGCACTGCCATCGCCATCAGCAGCTAGAGGTACCCATTCAGCTCTGACATACTGGTCCACCAAGAAGTCACCGACATTACCGGCATATTCCAGATCCCAAGGCGCTGGCAATGTGCGTTCAGATAATACTTCTGGAAGCTTCTTGCCCGTTGATGTGGAGGCGGAAGTTGATAATGCAGGAAGCGCAGTTCCCACACAAACAGCACATCGTGGGCTACATTGCTCCAAGGACCCCGAAGCCCTGCTTAAAGTAGCAGTGGTTGCGGTGCTCGCACTGGTATCCTCACAGCCAGTTAAAGTCGAGCATGTAGTAGTACACGTAGTGTGGGGAGTTGGAATCTTGAGACTGGAGGAGACAGAACCAAGCGTAGATGGACAGCTGACTTCACATTCAGTGGCTGTTTGAGCGGCAGTGCAATGGGTTGTTATGGTGGATGTGACAGCAGTGACTTCGCAGCCTGTGCTAGTTGCTATGCAGGCTGCCGTGGTCGACGTCGGGGACTGATCTGGATCGCCCTCCGTAGGGGGGTCAATGAACTTATTGAGTTCAGACAAATCATTTACAAGATTTTCAACATTTGAGAATCCACTTTCGCGAGTTGCTCGTATGTCATATTCGATCTTGCGGAGACTTCCATCTATACAGGCAATAAAATCTGTGGACATGCCACTGTCAATGCAAGACTGTGAGCTGTGATGGGCAGGATGGATGGTACCCAACAGATCCTAAAGTTACTGGTCAGCCGATATCTTAGTAGAGTACGAAATAAGGACAGCAGAATAAACAGACCTGAGCCTCTGACTTTAGTTTGGTAGCTGTGTCCATGCACTCATTAGCTTTGTCGTTGCCCGGTTTGTCGAGTAATGAGCGTATCCTTGGAATGAGAACCGTGGAGATATTATGCCGTAGAGACACGACATCAGAACTAGCTGCTGGACTGGCTGTATTACGAACATTAGAGGGTGATGTCCGAGTTAATAGAGGATACAATCTTGTGTGCGTGGAGCTTGGCGTTAGGATCACAGTCGGCGAACTGTGCCGCTCTGAGCTTATCCCCGTCAAGGACGGGAGACCTAGACCTCCAGCGGAAACATTCGCTATAACAGAGGTGCTTCTAAGAATGATACTGCTTCCTGCGAGTGCTGTGCTTGATTGGGTCCCAGTGTATGGTTGGCGAGCGAAACGTTCTGATGGGGTATCAACCGAACCCAAAGACCCTGGCAAGGCAGGATTGCCGTGTCCAAGCCGGGAATTTTTTGGATATCCGAAGGGAGCAGTTGATATTGAGACGCCCTCCGACCGTATAATTGCTGTCTGCGTGAGAATAGAACCCAAGGGATTCGGCGGTAGAGCGTGAGTGGACAGCGGCAGATTGGATATCCAACTTAGGGTGGCGGTTGAAGCCCGGGAGAAGGATGAAGAGGGGTTGTTCAGATTGTGGTTTCGTGCGTAAGATACGAATGAGACTGTGCTGGAGGTAGAGGGCAACTGTCGCGATGTTAGAAACCTCCCCTGCTCGACAGCGTTTACCGAGTTTGCATCCAGCAGTAACGCTACCAGGCTAGCAAGCCAAGACAACTGTTTTGTGCGAAAATGCATGGCTAGTGATGCTATTCAGATAAGGCTTATATGGCTAGAGTGTGGCCATATGTTAGAGCCCAAAAACAAGTTTCTCATACTTAAGACTAGCGAGAGTCTATGTGCTGTTTATACGTTTCCTTTGTGCCTAGCCAAGATCTCTAGTGGTGCAAAATAAGGCCCAAGCAATCGAGTATTTTCAGCAACCAGATGTATATAGTCATTTCCTGACAAGCCGCTGGACTTTGCTGATTGGAACCCGCTGTAATTTCCGGTTGAAATGGGTATGTTCGATGCTCAGAACATACCAAGAATTCATAACAAGAGGCTGAGTGCAAGTATGAGAGTTTGACCGGATGCGCATGTATAGTTTAAGCTGCCCGATCGGCGGGTACGTAGTAGAAGCTGGGCAAAGGGGGCATTGAAAAATGCCCACTATGCAAAAACGAGATATCATACATGAAGATGGTCGGAAGCAATTAGGTAAAAACACGGTATCTTTGCAATGGGCCCAAGAGATAGAAACAATCGGGGTGAAAGTTGGGGAATATCGATAGAGCAAAATGAAGTGGGAAGGAATATTCACTGACTCTGTCAGAAATTGAACGATAGGTACATATCTTGACCTTTGTCTTTATGTTTCATGTTTTCATATAGTAGCTAATCTTTACGTACTGAATACCGGATCAAATAGCGGCGAACGTATTGCGACTACACCCAGATACGGTCAACTGGTTGAAAATGGGCGATGCTCTACTTGTAGCATCGGCAGTCGTCTTCTGTACAACAATCTACTGTACGACATCTATTTTACTTTGTTGTGAGTAATTCTTGCACCTGAAAAGATGTCAAGCCTCAACCATCAGCATAATGCCTACCATCAAGAACCTAAGGTCAGATGATAGATGCCCAATTGATCTTTAACCACACCCGTGTATGTTTAGATGTTTTATATTAGCTTGGCCATAACCCCGCTGTACAACATAGTTATTATTTAATTGTTAGTTAACCTTACTTTAGCCTCGATTCTGGTTCAGCAGGAGCCGTGTCAATTCAGTGAGTAGTGGTAGTGCTTTTGCTAAACACAGACCAAGATTCGTAGATCGCAGTACAGGGTGTGTGTGTGTGTGTGTAGTAATTGGTATTGATATTAGTTATGGCGAAGCCGATGGAGGAAGGTTCATTTGCTCAATGGAGGATATTAGTGGCGGACAGACTACCCACCGCCTTTTCGCCGGTGGGTGGTCGGCAGCGTAAAGGAAGAATTTGAAGCAATTTAGAATATCTCGACAAAACGAGTAAAAAATTGATAAAATGAAACTATTGAACGTATTCCTATACTAATTCTCTTTACATGTAGCAGTATTTTGACCTTCAAAAACGGGCGGTGGTGGAGAGGTTCCAAACGCCTCTTTATATGCCTTGATCGCCTTCTTCTGCTTGCTTGCCTCTTCTTCTGCTTTACGGTCAGAAATCGGTCGATTGGTAGTCCGATCCGATGGGGTTTCCCAAATCCAAGCTCCTCGAGGTTTCAAGGCAAGCATTTCCTGAAACTTAGCATTTATTTTCCTCTTCATTCATAGACCCCTCGCCCGTAGATTTTACGGCCTTTCCGGGAAATGGTGTCACCACATACACTTTTTCGTTCCTTTCCAGAGCCTAATGCCAAGATAGAACGCCCCACGGCTGGACAAATTGGTGATCTACTCTAAATATGAGTGGGCAGCTGTCACCAGTGCTTAGCTACATAAGGAATAGTGTGCCTCGGGGACGAGGCCCGAGGAAAGGAAGGAGAGTAGGTGGTGACACCGTCTTCCGGAAAAGCTGTAACAACCAATCTATGAAGAACAATAGTCTGGATAAATGGCTGTTTCATCAGTAGCACGGCATCCACATTCAAACGCGCTAGAAGTGGATGGCCCTTCAAGTGATCCTTGTTGGGTTAACGACATTTTCGTTACATATACTAAACTCTAATAGGAGAGGCTAACGGTATAGAGCATGTGGAGTTGAACACTTCCACTGCCCATGATCCGCTTGCATTCCACATTGTTATAGCATAATACCCAAGTCCGGTGTTTCCATATCATTGGTTTCGCAGTCCTTGACCGAAAGCGCTTCGTTATAAGAGCCATTTGGTCCTCGTTAGACATCTCCTCAGAACACTCTTCGCACAGAGTGTATATATGAATGCGACGTTTCTTCGGTAAGAACCGGGAGACAAGGGCCTCGAAAGTGGTACCAGGGCTATATGGTACGAAGGAACAGGTCCATTTTTTGGAGGCGCATTCGTCGCAGTCGACACACTCCCAAGATATAGAGCCCGTCATGCTGAAACAAGTTAGTACATATTCTAGGTTTAGATTGAACGGTATATTAATTAGGCCTCAACATACTTCGTAACTCTCTCGCGGCTGCCAGCTTCTGTAGACAAGTGTGTCCACGGTAAGAAAGCCGGGATCATGCGTGGACACAAGATTTTGGGTTGGGCCGGGAGAAAGTATATAGATTCTCTAGGTTGGCTAGGTTACTGGGATACTGGCTGTGTAGCAGCGCATGTTTATATCAAATAATTGGTACCAAAGTAGGTTGACGCCACAGGAAGATGACGGGCTGGTGGATATTACGCTACGTGACCTATCTGGCTCTCTAGCGGGCCAGTGACGGGCTTCCAGGCAAAGCGGTGAGTTGTCCATCCTGCCTCTAAATTGAGTGATTCGGGTAAAGGGCATTCCATCTAAACCACAGCGCAACAAATGTAGGGCAATCAAGAAACACTCCGTTCAACTGGTTTTTAACTCGAGGGCTTCCTGATAGTCACGCAGGACAACCGGCACGTTTGAGTGGCAGACGACTGATCTTGGATGTACGGTGAGACAAAGGGGTGAGGAAAAGTCCTATGCTCAGACCCCTTGGACTGTACCTATACAAACGAGTAAGCGTCGGATGGCTCGACCGTTGACCGGTCGCCCAAATTTTCGCCCTCGCTCATCTACTTATCCCCAATAATTTGCTTCCAGGACGGACGGGCGACGGACTAGTATGAAATAAGAGCCGCGTGACTACTGTATGATAGTATATGATGAGATTAGATTGCAACACCAGGGTCTTAGGCCTATGAGGGAAAGGGTTAATGTATTTAGTAAGCGAGGCCACTCCCTCACGTTTTGCCCATGTCGAAAGCCTCATTGAATCACCAAACATGCGTCCAAAAGCGCATCAAAATAGATCTACCGTATGTAGTAGGTAGGGCAGGAGGAAAAAGATGTATTACTAATTCCCGCTATCAAATCTAGAGACTACGCAAATTGCAAAACAGCATTAGAAGCGGTTAGAGCAAATCCCTAGAGCCCTTCGGCCCCTTCCTCCTACGAAAGCTGCAGCTGTCGTTGGTCAACAATGATGTAAACTATCCGCCCTCACGAAGTGAACCCAAAGGAGACCATACCCCAAGGTGACCAGGATCCGCGAGATCACTGTGCGAACCATTTTTCTGGATCGTAATGTTTTTGCCCGAATTTCCGGACAGAGGGCCTGGTACTTTAACTGTAGAGCGTTTTCAAGCCCAAACGTGGAACTTCAAGCTAAACACAAGGTCGGACCCCTGGGAAACTCCCGATACAGACTAGCGTTCCAAACACAGCCAAGACAAGACAGGGGCCAGCTAGCAAAAAAGCGCATGTCTGGGCAAGCCCTTCGTACTCTCGAATTCAACCTCAGCCACTGTAAAGCCAGAATGGCTAAAGGTCTGCGTCAACTGATCATACTTGACCCTGTCCAATGAGATGGCTTCCTGTCGGGTGTTGGATGGCGTGCAGATATTGCCCGGGGGTATCGTCTCACAGTTGCCGTTGACTGGGCATTCGAATGATCAGATTCTACTTCTGGGGCGTGAGTATTTCGAGTTATACAATTGCCCATTCGCCAACCTGCTGTTTAGCCATTTCCGTTTAATTAGGTTTATCGGCCGCATTATCATGGTGATTCCATAGCCTACCATGGCCACATACTTTCTGTCTATAAGCATACACCAGAGGGACCAACGAGCAAAAGATTAATCGGATACTTGTGCGCGGCAGCGTCAGACACGGGTTGGCAGACGCATGTTAGCCCGGACATATATGAGGCATATCAAGTCACTAGCCGCCCAGGATTGTCTTCTATTCCGCACATACCTTCCTTCTTTCTTTTTTTCTTTCTTCCTCCCTAAGCCCATTGCATCTCGCATTAAAATTACTTCGGTTCGATGATGCTGGTCGATCTGGCTACCATAGTGGCGACCTCTCTGCATGGGTTCTGGATGAGGTTGTCGGCGACACGCCAAAAGACGCAGCAGAATCAGCAATCTGACAGAGATTCCCCGCTTGATATGGATCATCACCCTTATGTAGACCAGATTAAATCACTCGGGACTACTCATGAGACGGCAGTGCGACTCCAGACCCTCATACAGACCGACGGCGGGGGGAGCTGGCCTCCACGAGCAGTTCACCACGCGGAATGGCCCGAGGCACTCCATCCGTATCATGAAGTCTACCGCGCAATGTCTCCACAACTCGCGAGCAACGTACACCTCACCGACGACCGAATGAATCTGTCCCGCTGCAGGGCCTTTCGCAGTCAAATGACGGCTCTGCTACAAGCACACATTAACCTGGACGCGGTGGAGAATGCTCTCTGTGACCTGGCACAGGACGATGGATTCTCGCGGGAGGCCTGCAACGGATTCTTTGCCTGCGTTGCCTACTGCCGTCATGCATTCCGGTGAGAGCCCAATTCCACGGACAGTTGATTGAGTTGGCTTAATTAAAGTTTTGCGCATAGATGGGCCACAAACCCTATTGTCAAGGTTGCGCAGGATGATAAGGTGATTGATTTCCCCTTGGAGTTGGACATCCCGTGGGACTACCTTTGTCGTCGATACGGTATATACTCACAAGGGGGGAACGTCATGTCAAATCTGCTTTGTGATTTCGATACGAGCGGAAGGCTGATCTATACGATCAACGAGGGGATGTCAGATATTGTGCGGTCATCGGAGTACCACTTTACGTATATTTTCGTGGAGATGGAGAGGCTGGTAGGTCCGAATTGCTCTCCCGCTTCGAGATATCTAGCTCATGGGTACATCAAAGGCTGTCCCCATCTACCTCCACATCGCCCAGTCGATTGATTGCTTTGAGAGGGGAGACAAAGCGCAATGTGCAGAGAAAATACGGTCTATATTCCGTCAACTACGGAAGGTTTTCCAGGCGTTCTACAAGACCTTTGTGCCTTCCACGGTCAGTCCGGCTGTCTGGCTGTCTTACGTCCAAGGTTTCCACGGATGGGCCGCTGGAACGATAGATGGTGAAATCTACACGGAATATGATGGCGTCCAAGGAGGCCAGATGGTGCTGATTCAGGTGATTGATGCCTTCCTTGGCATGGACCCGTTTCTTTCCACGGAGGCTTTTCGACGCCATGTCACCTACTACCAGCGCGGCTTTATCGATTCCGTCCGGCGCCATTCATTCCGTCAGAAGGCTCTTGACGCAGGGGACGGTGAAATCAATATTCACATGATTGAAATCGCTAAACTGATGCATGTATGTTTCGTAGTATCGCTATACTTTTGTCTGGTAGCTGATCGTGTCGTGCAGGTCTTTCGAAGTTCTCATCGCAAGACAGCGTCTAAGTATCTTGCAGTGCCGGCGCCCGAGAGAATAACCATGACAGCTGGAAGCTCTGTCTTGCAGGGAGGTAGCGCGTCATCAAATCCACTGGCGCATGTTGACTCTCTGCTTGCAGCCCGCCTTCGTCAGACGCGCGCGCTGGGGAAACCCAAAGACATATAAGGCTTTCCCCCCTGTCCAATGCCACCGTCGCTACCTGTGTTGAGTTTCCTAACGGGATTGTGAAATGATTCTTAACGCATGGCTCTAGATCAAAGACTGAGAAGATTCAATAAGCAGGGGCAGGCCATCTTCTGCGTCGGTGCTTCTAGAATATCATATCAGGCAATCAATTAAATCCTTGGGTATTCTTCTCTCCCCCCCTTTGGTTCTCTTATACAATTGTCCTAGGTGTGACATTTGAGTATTTCGGGGGTCCAGGTACTGGACGTATTCTGTCCATGCAACGGACAGCTGATGTTTGAGCACATTATCGGCTGCCTTCCCTAAAACGAGGACAGCCTTCACCGTTCAAGGGTAGACGTTGCCTAGCTTGACAAAGTAATCATCGTAAAATACGTGACTAACCAATACAGAACTCGTGCGCCTGCTTGTTCATCCCATTTGCTAGTCCGAGGACCAGGACCAACTGCTGATCTGCATGCATCGGCCGTTGCTGCAATAATATCTACCGGGTTGGCATGTATCTGACTGATCAGGAGCAATCGCATAATTGGCGACTATTACGGTGAAAAGCTCGGGGGAAAAAAAAGCCCTGAATGATCTGGCAAGGCTGAAAAGCTATTGTATCTGATTGATGGGTTTCGAGTGGACTGCGACTTATCCATCGGCGTCATGGCGTGAAGGGAACAGTAGATCGGCAAGATAAGGAAAGGGCAGTTGTGATAAGCTCGCAGCCCATTTCGCTAACTTCGAATACCCATAAGAACGGCCCGAAAGTGGATACGACCAGCTCCAAAAGACTTTGAAAGGGTGCCACCATATGCTATGATAACATAATATCAGTGTAGAAATAACCGCAGTAAATTAGTTAAGAATCATTCAAGGTCTGCATTATACATTCTATAGTATGTATTGTGTTTATAATGTGCTTACGTTTGGACGTGCACCTATCCTAGGATTGAGGGACTAAAGTAATATGTTCAACGCCTTACAAGTAAACAACTAGGCCACCTGGCTTGGGAAACACAAGTGGCAAACAAGATGAAAACACCGAGTGAGGTAAACCTGCTGTACCAGCTGGTGACATTCGTCGCAAAATGTATTTTGCCTTTCCCTTATTGCCTGAGCGTATCTGTAATTCCAGTCACCGATTTCTGCCACCAACTGAGACTGAAGGCGCTGTTGTGCGTTTTGAAGGTGAGAGTTTCGCTCTTGAAGATAGTTGTTACTCGATATCAGAGTATTAACTCGGTTTTCGAGGGACTCCGCTGCCTCGTGGGCCTTCCGGAGCAACATCTGCCATTTATTGCCTGCTCGGGCAAACATTAGCCCTCATCCCACTTTTATGAATAAGTAAAGATACTTACTTGCCAATGGAGCAACAATATTTCTCCTAGCCATATTGCTGGAACGACAGTAGATTACTGTATTTCTTAGAAGGGGACTGTAAGACTGTAATGGCTTTATAGTAGGGCGATTTCATCAAGAGAATAGATATGAATCGATTAATCGTTTCTTCCGATAGTGCAGCTGAAAGGTTCTAGAAACATAGAAAAGAGAAAGATCTTGTACCACTAAATATAGGATAACGGGCAAGTAGGTCCTCCTACGGTATAATAGGCTTTCCTTACCACACAGTTATCCTACGACGTGATACAGCTGTTCTTAGAAACACCACCAACACTCGTAGAAGCTACTTAAATAATAGGTCGCCATCTTCTACGCCTTGGATAACCCAGACCAGGCTTTAGGAAAGATTAGCGAAATATCCAGCATCATCCAGAACGCTCCTTTTTGGACTGCCTGATTTCTAAGCAAGTTTATGCGTCACCGAATTTCACCCATGTTACTTGCATCAAAGTGCATCATAGAAAGCAGTCGAATTACATGCAGGCCTGTCACCCTTATAGCCGTAGTACAAATGATCAACAGAGAGGGAGTCACTGGCAATGATTGCTTAACCGGCGGGATATAACATCATTGGAATAGTCAATGAAAACGGGCTGTCTTATCCCGCTGCCTTGTAAAGCCCAGTATAATGGACGCAATATGCCCGGGGTAAAAATTGAGATATCAATATCGGGCCGAGCGTTAAACATTAAAATGGTCCTGTAATTGGTGATTCGAAACAAAGGCCGGCCTCGGGCAAGCTGAATTGACCATGGGGCATTCGACACTCCGTTTAATAACCACGTATCGACCGGTCACTTCCATAAGTCTGACATTCCGAAAACAGCGAGAAGGAGAACGACGATTACTCCAACGAAAAGAATGCGCTTGATACTGCGACCCAATTGCATATGATATATTCTGCGTTACCACACACGTAGACAAGGATTGAACAGTACAGAATGTTGAAAACCCGGAGCCCCGCCCGGCAAGCTTCGTGAATACAAAGTAGATTTAAAGCAGACCTACGTCCAGCTAATATCATCTGTTTCCTATTGGTGACCGCCATACTCTAGGAGGAACAAGACAAGAAGAGCCCTCCGAATCATAAGAATGGCTTCTACAAAGACCGATTCCGACATCTCCGACACATTCCAAGTGCTTCAGCACACGGTCCCTAGCCAGCATATACGGGAATATCCCCAGGCAACGGCAGCCAAGCAGGAGGACGTTTTATACCTTGCTGTGAAGCAATATGTGCCGTGGGATAACCTACATCCTTCCCCTGGCGCGGTGAGCATCGTCTCCGCGCATGCGAACGGAGTACCTAAGGTGATCTTATTCCCATCCCATTCATTCCCTCACAGTGCTAACGGAACCCCAGGAAGCGTATGAGCCGTTTTGGGTGGACATTTATCAGGCAGCCAGTAAATCCGGGCTGGCGATTCGTGGTATATGGATGGCTGACGTGGCCCACCAGGGTGTCAGTGGTCTGGTGAACGAGGAACGCTTGGGGAATGATCGTATGTTTCGCTTAATCCTTCCCCTGCTGACGGCTCCTCCCCATTAACCCACAGCTTCATACCAGCTTCCGCCTTTGACCATTCTCGGGACCTGTTACTCCTGATGAACCATTTCCGAGACAGCCTTCCGCAGCCAATCATTGGCCTTGGGCACAGTATGGGAGCGACGCAATTGATCCATCTCTCCCTTATGCACCCCCGAATCCTGCAGGGTCTTTTTCTAATAGAGCCCATTGTTTTCCCTTATTCCGGGGCGGATCAGGGTCGATACCCGGCGGCGCTAGTATCCCTGCGACGTCGAGATACCTTTCCCACCAAGGACATGGCTGTAGCCCACTTTCAGCGCAGCAAGTTGTTCCAATCATGGGATCCACGGGCATTTGGTAAATGGATTGAATATGGCCTCCGTGATGCTCCACCTGGCCCCGAGCCGCGAGTGGTTTTGACGACCCCCAAAAGTCAAGAGTTGTCCACCTTTGTTCGACCCATTCTCGCCCCGAAATCGACAACAGACCGTCGTGTACTCTGTCCGGATCTTGCACTCGAGGCACTTGACGATGAACGGATCCTGTTCTATCGCCCCGAACCGGTCATCACATTTCATAATCTCCCACACCTGCGACCACCGACCATGTACGCATTCTGTGAGGGCTCGCAGCTTGTCACTCGGGAGATGCGGACTGTTATCACGGAGAAGACCGGAACCAGCGTGGGTGGAAGTGGCGGGGTGGTAACAGGGCGTGTTAACATGACCGTCATCAATGACGCAGGGCATTTTGCTCCGATGGAACATCCCCAACGCCTAGCAGACCATGTTGTGGAGTGGCTACAGGGTGAAGACCGCCGGTGGATTGCTGCAGGGGAATTGGAAAGACCGAAACATCGAGGGCAGGATGAGGGAAGCCCGCGCGAGATGAGTCGGGAGGTGTTAGCTTTGTTAGAGGGAACAGACAGTTGCCCAGACACAGCAGCGCGTCCCCATAAATTGTGAAACCACCATGCCGGAAGAAAACACTTGGATGGCCTTTCTACATTACGGCAGCCTGATTTAGAGCGATATTAGCAGCGAGTAAACTGATCTGTTTAGAATGGTCCTTGGGTAGGTGTGGAGCGAGACGAAATCGAGTTGGCTTCGCATAGGACCTGCAGGGCACAGACGATGAACTTCTCTAGTTCTGGTCAATGTAAACTTAAAAGTATACCTCACAGGAGGTTAGACCTGCTCTACAGGGAACAATAAGGGAGATGAAACCCAAAGAAAGAGCTCCTCGTTTCTAAAGCAAAGATCTTGCCCGAATAGAATCCTACTACGATTCGAGCCTCGAACCAAGAAGCACTACATATATATTACGAGTTTTTGGCTCTAGAGACTTAAGCAGCCAAGCGATTGAGTTCCTATATAATTTTGGCTTTTGCAGTATATCAACCAACAACTACTGACAAAATGGATCCATGCATGACCAGGATTTGCAATCAGTAATTGGGAAGGACGAGGGCATAGTCAATCTTTCAGTTGACCGGGAAAACACGGAGTCGATAGGAGATAGGTCAAAAACGAGCCTTGGTAAGATGGCGCGTACCATCCGAGATCTTATCTTTATCTACCCCAATTCCCCACTAGAGCGATTATTCTCAGATATTAATCGAACAAAGCTGGGCAGTGCCTATGAGAGTACTGTATTTTAACGAGCCGACCCGGGCAATTGGAGTGAACGCATAAGACTCCGGGAAGGGTCATTGCAGGCGAGCAAATACACCCGTTGATAATAAAGTGGCATATTCTTCAATACCCGCATTTGGCCATGGACTAATCCTTAACTAGATATATATGCGGCTGTTTACGGGATGCCCATTATGATATTATTATTTAGCCTCCAGTCCAACTTTTACGGCCTGAGTTAGGCGAACAACGTTCAGTGGTGAGCAGTTGGTTCCAGTTCTATCTGCCATGTCTTTTGCTTGCCTTATCACCTTATAACGCCTGACATTGGCATCACCAGTTGCATTATGGATTGAAGATGGCGTGGGTAACAGTTGGGTGGTGGGGGCCGGCGTGCAAGACATACGCAAGCAAATTAACCGGAGTGGAACGGCTCAGACAGATGAATGCCCACCCTGGCGTGATGGATGATGATGTGGGGCTTCTAGTATTTTCGGCAGACGATGATGCCTATCAAGGGCTGGAAAATACAATACACGGAATTAGAGTCTAAATCTCAGCAGATCCCTCCAAACGTTTCGCGGCGACTATGCAAGGCGTCTGCACGTTTCCTACCGTGAGAGCTTTTGGTGTACAGCAGACTTTTGCTGGAGCCGAACAAAATGAGAATTACAGTGGCTGAAAACACTAATCGACGTAGTAAGACGCATGTTTCACAAAGTATCAAACTGAGCGGAAATAGGTACGGTTAGAACCAAGTCTACAATACGATTGTGGCTGGCGGCCTAGCATAGCCCATTTGGGACTAGACTTTACATCGGGGCTACTATACTGGCAAGTACTGTCCTTTGTCGCTTGGAGGCGAGAGAGATTTTTGCGGAAAAGAATGATGTGCTATACAACTGAGGTACAGTGGGACAAGGGCATACGCCTATTGATAGGCATTGCTAGGCTAGTCGCTGGGCAACCGCAGAATAAACAGAACCATGATGGCGAGGCTAATTCGATGTTATTAACATATTTGTTAGCATGGGGTCGTAAGGGAGAATGGGATTGGATAAAAGAACCTTTGCTGGGCCCGTCTATCAGGCAGGAAAATACTCAACAGAGTAAGCTTGGGCGTACAGGTACCTTCGAGAAAGTCTGCGATATGAACAGCTAAATACCGTGATAAACGGTTAATAGAAGCCTGTGCTATTAACAAAATGCTCAACATAGTAAAACATAAGCAAGGAAATCCATTATATTGGCGTGGCTTCCACTGACATGCCATGAAAGAGCTACAAGCCACTCCAGAAGTTTCCAATGAATATCGGCTTCTCTATATTATGAATTGGTTCCGTCGTATCTGGCTATGGCCCAGACGCAAGTATGAGGCGTGCCCTTTCACGTGGTCCCAATGCTAACTGTACCCCACTTGTAGACGGGTGCATCGGACTGCTTCAGTTGCGGATCAAGGTGACCTGCACGACACCACGATCGGCTACTTTGTCACAGTCTGTGTGGGTTCCCCCCATAGGCGGGCCGCAGTGGAAAATTCCAGCTTGAGGCGTGATGATACCCAAAAAGCCGCTGTCGAGAATTCAAGATGTGAGCGCTGCCATGGCCGTCGTTCTACGAGTTATCACTGCAGACACCGGGAAGCCTCAGTGCAGTACCCAGCCCGTGGCATATGTTCACGGCGGCGCACTGGCTGTGCGGGCGCACGAAAGGCCCTACAGCAAGGGCCCTGGCTTAAATCGACTGTGGATTTACCGGCAGGCGGACGGGTGAAAGAACCTAGAATCAGCCCAAGCAATACGCAACTACAGCCAAAGTCTCCGGCTCCGGTATATGAACTTTGTGGAATGCCGACAAGCTCGTTAGACAGGAAATAAGAACGTTGACTCCTCGATGCCGTAACATTCCAATGTATTGTAAAATCAATGGGCTTCCTTGCTACTTACATACATTATGATCGGGTGATTCCTTTCATTCTGCAAAGTCTCATGCGCAATTGAACTCATGTAGGGTTGTGCTTCTTCCTTGGTGGCCTCAGCCGAACCGGTTGTATGATTGCCAAGAGCTGCTCGATTTCCCCGGTGAGCGTTCTATACCCGGCAGTAGATTGTTTTCCTCTTTGGCCAAGTGTTCGCCACTTCATACGAGCCTCACGGAGCTAGTTTTCCAGGGACGGCGCACTGGCGACGAAGTCAACATATGGCGCCGTGCTGCTTGTAGCTTGTCATCCGGGTCTCTTTCTCGGTGATCGCCTTGTCGGGTCTGGGGTATGAGAATATTATTTCCCAGGTCTGGGAACAGGATATCGTATACATAAGCGTAGTCTGACATGATAAACACATGGACTGCATTATCGGCACGGCGCATGGTGCATCGCTGGACCGTGTATCACTGTAAACGCGACTGTTGTGGTCCGGAGCTGGAATGCTTAAGGCCGAATCGACGCCATCAAGCGATGCCGGTTGCTCATTCAGCCAGGACATGGGTGGAATCGGTGGAGCTGGAGACGGTGACCGGAGGAATACCGTGAGAAATTCATCGATGTCACCGTTTGGGGCACACATCCTGCCTGCCCTGAATAATGCTTACCCACCAGAATGGTGGGGGGGAGGGTCGTGCTGGCCTGAGGCGGCAGGGCAGGCTTTCGCGTTCAAATAAGGTGTAGGTAGCATACTGATTGCACGCCCACTAAATCTACCTAGTATTCTGATTGCAGTGTCAACCCAGTGGGCCGAGCATGCATTCCAGTCCGAGCCCGAATTTAGGGTTGCCCGCATAGGCATTCTCGACGTGCTGGTAAACCACATACAAATAGGACCAAGTACACCTTTGCTTTTGAAAGACATGTTATTTTCCCAGTCAAACCATGAACGATCGTCATCGGACTATCTGGTTCAAGTCTGTCGGCACACCGGGGGCAGGGAAAAGGGCCCTTCCCGAGGAGGCAGCATTGAACCCCATCAAAAGGCAGAAGTCGGACTCAGCTGCCTGTGATGACGGTTGCCACGAACAGGACCCATGGACCGTATATAAACAGAGAGCGGTGGTTTTTTGCGGCCGTTATGTCGCGCTGGCCCATCATCGAGAGCACCAATCAAAGATCGTCCACATTGAGAGCCTTTCTATTGACAGGCCTGATAGGCGATATCTCCTACAAACAGTTGAGCGACTGTCCCACGAGAGCTTTCTCAAATTACTCGAGGCCTATTACTACGAGAACCGACTGTTCTTGGTGTGGGAACCGGTCGAGCTGTCGGTGAGAGAAATTTTAGACGCCCAGGTGCCCATCAATGAGCCACAGCTGGCGCAGATTATATTACCGGTATGTGCCATGGCATAGGGGTAATGTCACACTGACGGACGGAGGCAGGCACTCCAGGGAATCGTGTTCCTTCGCGAAAAAGGAAGAGCACTCGCCAAGCTGGACTCGAAAGCGATCCTGCTAAACAAAGATGGGATTGTGCGGGTTAGTACGTCTTCGTGCCCCCAAACCGGGCAACAATCCGAGCATCTAACCCTGTCTACCAGCGGGTGCGGAACACAGCTGCCAGATCCAGCCATCGGAGATGAACTGCGACACGTTGAAACTGACCGCACTGGCTGCTATCATGGCCGATCTGATGGGCCAGAAGGGGAGTGGGCCTATCTGGAGCTCGCTAGCGAAAGACTTTCTTCGAGATCTGACGACCAAGCGCCTGGACGAGTTGCTGGAGGTACGTTGTCACGTTGGCTCACCTTGCTGCGCCTTGCTCACATTTCTACAGCACTCCTTCTTAAAGGAGGCGGGAGGAGCAGACGACTTAATGCTGTGTGTCTCTATAGCGAACAAGATTGCCAGTCACAAGATTAAAGAGGTGAACAATGTCTAGCTACCCTTCCGGATCGCACCGGGGAGCCTTGCCCGCTGCGATATGACCAGTGGCCAAGCATAATTTAGGACTTGAACTCCATGAATACTACATCAATACTATACTGCATAGGTCCCGGGTTCTCACCCCTTGGTCGCCCGTTCTAGTACCTTGGCAGCTCCACGGATGCTATCTCTCGTTCTGGCTATCTCTTCTTCAAACTCGCCTATATACTCTTTTTGGCGCTTGACCTCCCTCTACATATGCCAGTTTTTTTTTTTTTTTTTTCAAAGGCTCGCGACCGGTGTAGGCATGCTTGCATACGATCACGAAGACGCTCGTTCTCGTCATCGAGTTGCTGATTCTCCTGCTCCAAGCGTTGAATACTCGCGGTAAAGGAATCGTCTTCAGGCGTCGGGACCGGTTCATTTTCGGTCTGCCCAATCATTTCCATCAGTCTTGAAACACTGTGTGACATATGCCACGGGTCGAGACGGCCATCGCCATTAGACGTCTTTTCCAGATCATCGTGGTCCGCTTGCAGAACTGCCGGACGGACGGCTTCGAGCGAATGTCCAAGCTCACGGCATATCTCCTCATAGAGACCAACAGTTCCATTGCTCAGGGGCGTCTCCAGAAGATGCGCCTTGGAGTCGGTAACGGACCAGACATATCCGTCCTGTGGAGCTGGCTGCAAGCGGACTTCGTTCGGGTCGATCCGCAAGCCGAGCCGGTTATCTAGGTCTATCAGTGTACGGCAGGATCTGGGGGCTCTAGGGGTGGTACGAATATGCCTGGACAATGCCTCGCGTCACCACTGTCGCCTCAGAGCACGCTTTTTATTACTCGATTGAGCCATGTGGGATGCATACAAGTCCTTCGTGCGCAAACCAAGGACGGATGAAAACCATCGGTCTGCACACGGTAGAGGATAAAAGGTGGATGATCCGGTAGCAACCATGGAACTGGGGGTCCATAAATATGAGATGGGGGCCTGTATACGCAACAGAGAGGAGACCACAATTGCCGGGATTGCTGAACGCGTTCTTGGCGATGTGCATTCGGGGTTCCGCTTGACCACTTCATAATTTTGACCCGGTGACAAACCCGAATCGACTCTCAGTGGATCGTAAATGAGATTGAAATAAGATAAAATATGTATTTACGTTATATATTTAATCAACCGTGTGAGGTACATGTTACTGAAATGATCTTGTTTGCCATGCTTAAGCAAGACCGAACGAGTATTCTTGATAAGCACACAATCACAGATCAGATAAGCAGGGTTGATGATGCAGATGCTGCGCTCAACCAAAAACCATTTCACCGCCGCAGCTGACTATTGTGACAGGAGGAGAGCTATTCCCACAAATGATTCTCCTACGACGGATTGACCTCATAACTGAGCATTCGACGTAGCCTCATCCCCCCGTAGCACTACTCCGATCCCGTACGCCATGCCCAGTCACGTAGGGACATGACTGCATGATAGGCAGTTTTGTTGGCCACGCTGATGAGAAGCCAAAGCCCTTCTTGGCCCGTTGAAGGATGAAGAAAAGGATGCTGGGAAATCAGCATGCTTGCGGCATGGCGACTGAAACGTACGGGCGACCTACTTTTAACAAAGCGTCCACAGGGTTCACGAACGGGTTGCCAACCGCCATTGTCGAGAATTCCTGTGCATGCAGGCTCCAGGGAAAAGCGGTTCTATTCTTCTCCATCAATTTCGTAGCAATCATCACGAGTGCAGCCAGGTGCGGAGCCGCTGCATCAGATGGGGAAGTGTCGCACTCGCGGCTGTGCTCCACGCCGGCTATGTTTTGTTCACGTTAGCATGCTGCAGCCTTGGATCATGCCGGGCTGGCCTACCGATCTTTACTTCACCGCTTGCAGTGACGAGTATGTCTCGAGGTGCCAGGCTCTGCAGGACCCTGCCCTGACTGTGAAGGAAGGCGATACCCTCCAGGACCTATCGAATTTGCGTCAATCGCTTCACTCTGAAGATAGAGACCCATACGTACGGGCCTGATAATCTGCACTATCTCGCTTTCTGAGATCTCGCATGTTGATGCCAGAACCTCACTGACGGAAAATTCGATCGGCTCCCATATCAAAAAGTAGCGCTGGTGATGCTGCATGACATCCACAAGGCGGCGGAAGCTGCGGTGGGCGTTTTGATCCAGTGCTTGAACCCAAGAACTTACGATTGGTCGTTCCGTGCCATCATCCTGAATATGAACAAATTCCGCTTTACGTTGTCGATGCTGGGCCAGAACCATGTGTTCTCCGTAGACGGTGCGAGCACATGGTTTGTATGTCTGCCACGGGTTGTTCGTCGGAATTTCACGAGGGGTGTATGTGGGTTCGTACGAGGACGTCTTCGATCCGAAATGGTTGGAGAGTCCGGCCAATACCGTGTCGGGATGGACGTTTGTGCGCACCTCCGGTGTTTGGACAGGTGGTGATTCCTCGCCCTCAAACCACATCGTGCGGCCCGCGACCTCACGTCTACGGCTGGACATGGCTCCCAGCGCACATTAATCGGCGGACGAGGTCCATCGGCACAGGTAGCAATGATCGCTGGCTCTTATAACGACGTGCCTCATCGCATGGACTTTGTCGTACCCGGGAACCGAGAGCTCGTCAAGGTATGTGATATGTGTTTTAAACTACTCGATAAAAGGAATTTGGCCAGACCTTCCCTTTCACACCCCCTCGCGTTTTCTATGTGGGCCGTGGCAGTTCTCATCAAAGCGGTATTGCCCATCTCGGTGAAATCCAGCAATAGACCCTGGTTACTTGCATGTTGGCTCGTTCGTCAGATTCGGCGGTCAATACCATGGTCGGTTGGTCAACTGAGCGGGCCATCTGGGGGCACATTATGGGTCTTGCTCTACAGACACCGGGCTCGGTGTCGATGCCAATGGTGCATACGCCTTCGGTTCAGCAACATCGTCGATCCTTCTAGGTCGCATCTTAGCATACACATCTTCCAGCAGTGCAAGTTTGACCGGGCATCACATACCATGCCCCGTAGAAGGGTTGACAGTGTCGGGTTGACCGCTGTGGGATAGGATGGGCCGGGTCTCCTTGGACATCGTCAGTAATGCGTTGTTGGCTATTCCCGTCCATGACCTCGCACATACCAATGCACTCCGTGCTTCATTCCCCCGGTGGATAGCAAAGCCCGACACCTACAGCCATTTAGTCAAAGCTTCACAGTATCAGGCGGACAGATCCCACAGCTATGGCCATTGCCCACATCAAAGTTAATACAGTCCACATTGCCTTGCCTCGGTCTTCGTGCAGAGCAGTAACAGCCACGTGCTAAGCGCCCGCCTTGCCTGACGGTGGAAAATTGGCCAAGCAAATAAAGGCGATAAATCCAAGAATCTGGGTGGAATCGTCGAACGTACGCCTCAGTGCCATTCCATTGCGTTTATTATACGGTAGTTATTTCCTGGGCCGTGCTAGACTGACTTCATGTGGCCGATCTACCACGCATAATTGTGGATTTTACGGTACACAAATCTGCTGGTCGTATAGGAGCTCGAGCAATTGTTTGTTGCCTGCTTGCTGCAGTCGCAAAAGCGCCCGCGCTGAAACTGCTGTCATTGAAGGCAGCAATATACAACAGTCCTCACCTTTGTAGATAGGATAGGAAGCCTTGCACCGGCCCCGCGTGCAAGTGGAAAGAATAAATAGAGCGCCTCTGTTCTCATTCCGCAGGTAGAACCGGTGCAGGGGAATATTCGAGTAGTTCGGTCAATGATCCTGCGTCTTAATGTCGCTGCATGGGCCATGTAGCGCCGACGATGATGCATCTAGTATTTACAGCCGACCACCCCATACACCGAAGCTTGCGCAGCCATCGGCTAGTCCAACCCCGCATGATCTGCCCGACATTCAACCGCTCGATCACCAAATATACCTGGCTCGCGGATCCACCATCGCGCTGGAAACCACCCGGGCACGGTTGCAGTGTGCCAAAGACAACCGGCGACTCTCGTTGCCGGAGACCATTGTTGAAAAGAAGCGACAGTGGCAATGTCAGGATCACGAGAATCGCTTCTTTGAAACCTGCCTGGAAATCCTGGAGGACTTGTCCGCGGTCGCCGTCGATGTATCTCAAGAGCTGATTTTGCAATACGAGTTCGAGCCAGAGACCAGCCCGGAGGGCAACGCGCGCGTTCGACGAGCAAACCAGCGGCTTCGCAGCGCCCTGCAGCAAGCGCTCGAGCGGGAAGCACGCGCGGAGTTTGAATGGAAAAGACAATGGAATGTCCCTCGGATCGGAGGCGCTTCCGTGAGGTGGGTCTAGGGGCGGGCAACACTTCATTCGGTGCTACTTGGTCATGTATGAAATGGGTTTCCAAGTATACAGTAGCAGGCCCGGCGTTTCCATATGAAGCGCCGTCTTATCTTGATCTATGGACAGACTGTACCGTATGTCATGGGACGCGACGCTCTTCTACTTCCCACCAACTGTCCACCCCACGTAGCCGTTTCCCAGCCAAGGCGTTTAGGAGCGTAGTAGATATCTGCCTCTGAGGTGGTCCTGGGGCTCTCGAGATGAGCGTCTATATCCTCAATTGACAGTAAAGCCCCTCCCTTTCGCCCCAATGGTCGGTGGGGGAATCGTTCACGACCGTATAATACCTGTGGGGCTAGTTGCGGTCTGGACAACAGCGGTGGTCTGCTGGCGATGATGATATCGTCGCCATGGCCGACACCCAACCCGCCCCGTTGCCATCCATAGCTGCGGCTCGGTGGTGCAGGGATAAGGCCACCTAGTGCCCAGATTTTGACCAACATCCCCTGTATACGCGGGTTGATGGCCTTGTGTTCTGAGGAAGAAGGGCAAAGAGGCCATGGACCGATCACCGGTGAACCCAGCGTAGTCAATCTGGCCATCCGGGTAAAGCTGGTAGCGCTCAGAACTGCCCTGACATTTCCATTCCACTGTACTGGAGAACAGTTATGGAGCGAACCACAGTGCAATGAGAGGCTTCCTGATCGCCTGCTTGTCTTCTTACTTTATCAGAGCAACAGCTGCATGGGCGGGAGTGGCTCTGTGGCTGCCCAGGCACGTCACGGCAGCACCGGATCAAACTAAGTAACACGAGATTTTACATGATCTATACAAATTGCCTAATATTTATAACGTCTGCTCGCGCGCAAAAAAAAAAAAAAAAAAAAAAAAAAAAAAAAAAAAAAAGAAAAGAAAGGAAAAGAAAAAGAAAAAGAAAACTACACAATTGACTTGGTCTGCAGCGAACTCATTGTCTGTCACCCTAAGAATAGTCCCGAGATAACCAATTCCTCGCCATCTTCAAGACAGCATGCACCAACGCTCGACGATCCTTCAAGATCATTGACCATCGAAAATCATGAGGCAGATGTTGCTGGAGCAGGCCAATCACCCGGATCGGCTTGGCATAGCTCGGATGCCTCTGCGCAATTGCACGTAGGAGCGTGGTATCGTCAATCACTCCATGCACCATCGCAGCTTCCTCGTCCAGACAGCGTTGAATTGCTTGGAGCTGTCGTTGAAAAAAAGCAATGCCAGCCTGACGTGCCCGATCGTACAACCGGGCTGCCGTGGATTTTGCGATCGCACAACCACCGTCCTCTCTCAACCGAGCCGTGTGTCGGGCACGCCGCCCGTGCTTGTTGCCGCCTTTGGACAATGATCCTATATTTGCTTGGCTAGTAGATACTAGATGCAACAGTTCGGCCATCAAGTGGTCCATGGAGCGCTTCATGTGCTCATTGCTCGTCATGTCGCCTCCAGAGGGAGTCCAGCAGCCGGTGGGATTGTTTTGACCGCCAGCTGCTGGCCGTTGACGAAATTGATCCGCCTGAGCATTGTCTCTGGACTCGGCTGTGAAGCTCACAGAGGATGTCATTGGGTCGTGGTAAAGAACTAATGCCTGTGAACGGTTGTCATCCGGTCAGGTATCCTTGAGTATTTGAACCGACATTTCATGGTTCCTGTCCATGACGCTAAATTCCGGACGGTCTGCATATGCACTGTACGGAACTTCCTTGACGAGGTATTGGTCGCCGCGTGAGCCGTCCATGGGCCCGGGCAGTTGCAAGCATGGGTTTGAACATGTTAAGACAAGCCATGCCCAATTTATCAGGATCAGGCTACGGTATACAGGACGTGCCGGTCTCCCCAGGTGCCAAAAGGAGACCCTGATCAGCCCTTGCGCGGAACGGCGCAGTAGGATAGCCCCCCATTTCCTGGGTGTACTCAGTAAGGCGATCATTTTCTTGCTAGACTAGCACAGTAGATATCTTCGGCCCGTATTTTGTCGAAACTCGACACGTGGAAAAGGAAAGTGAAAAACCACTACATATTGTTTTGACCACTAGCACAGCACCTACAGTAACCGAGGCAGCTCTAGTAGGGATAACGAAGAGAACCTGGCAACTGGCCGAGCGTTTAGGAGTCTTAATGCAAACTGGAAGCTGGGGCATATTGCAGCTGGGGAGCCTAGGAACAGTACATTTCGGTCTTGTTGTTTAGCTATTCTTTTCATGAGGGTCATTGTACCCACATATGGGAGCACACCCCTCAGTATTTGCACATCCGGACTACCTGTCGCTAACCTACATCTGAATCATTGTGTAATACATATGGCTGGAGTGACTTGCTAATGATACTAGTTTCACCTCTGTTAATATTTAAGTGAAGACTTCAGAAGACATCAAATACCGTACATAAATACTTCCCTCCCCATAGCTATCTTCCTACCTACAGGATGCCGCCAGCGACATCCCTCTTATACGACCATATTGTTCGAATATCGCAGACCGACTGGTATGGGATATGCGCCATAATCATCTTGGGAAGTTGGCTTGGCTGGCGTCTTGCCTACCGGTCTTGCCGTTGCATTTTCCGACGGCCTATAATGCACCTGCACCGACTTTTAGGCTCCCCTCTGCCGAGGCCATTTTATCAACTTGACATGGCCACGATCCAAGAGGGGCTGATTGTCGTTTTCCTGCTCACGGTGAATATCCTGCCATTGGTTATACGGTCTCGATCTTGGATGGTTGTCCACCGACGGGCTGCCAACATCGCCGTCATGAACCTTGTTCCACTATGGACAGGGTTGACCTTCGGACTCCCCGCCCATCTTCTCGGTGTCAAGTGGTCGACCGTATCATGGATGCATCGGTGGATCGGCCGTGCGGTCATAATCCACTCCATCCTCCATGGAGCTATCGTGATCCGGAGTGCTGATAAACCAGTGCAGGAAATCCGACGGCATTACGTTCCATTCATGGTGAGTGGTAAGCCCCCATCCACTTTAGATATCCCATGACCCAGTTTTCCAAACAGACATCACTCCGTCTAATCTAAATCAGGCCGCATGTGCCATAGTATTGATCTTTCCGGTGACGCTGCATGCGATCACTCGTCGCCATCCGCAGCTGGCGATGAAGTGCCACTACCTTTTGGGGTCGACCGCACTGGCCTCACTGTCGTTCCATGTCTGGATATACCGATCAAAATGCCTCTGGTACCTGGTGGCTGCGGCGGCACTATGGACTGCGTTGACTGCGACCGCCCTGGTCAGGTCCCTAATGAGGCGCTGGAGACGCTCGTGGCCTTCCGTGGTTATTTCTCCCTGTCATGAGCTCCTGCATATAGATATCACCGTTCCATCTCGATGGAAGGTTGAGGCTGGTCAATATGTATACATCTGGCTCCCGCATGCAGGTCTGCGGGCCGCAAGTCAACTGTTCCTTTTTTATATCTCATCCTGGGATGATACGCCTGGCCTTGGAGACTCCGGGGCACTGGGCCCTCAATTATTACACTTGTCCGATCAGCGCGAGACATCGGCACGGGATGATGCATCTGGGCACCCTACTGATCAGGAAGACACATGGAGTGAAGCGGAGACTTTGGCTGATGATAACACATCGGTGTACGGCGCCAAAAGGAGGAAAGGACGGAGGCATGCCGAGCCATTGGAAGACCACGACGCCGCAGCATGCACTGCCAGTAAAGGTGAACCATTGGGCGGGGCGAGTGCCTTGACCGATGCCGCGAGTAGACGTACCCTGCACGTGCTCGCCCGCCCGCAGTCTTCGACACTCAATGCTACCCTTTATCAGGCTAAAAGTCTCCACAACGTTCAACAGAATGCACTCGTTTTGGGCCCGTACGGGAGACCGCCCGATCTCACCCGCTTCGGGATTGTGCTACTTGTCGTAGAGGATATCGGCATCGCGCGCGTATTTTCTCTCATCCAGGAGCTTGTCCTAGCGAGTGAGCAACACCGTGCCATGGTACGGAAGCTCATCGTTGTCTGGCAAATGGAAGACTTAGGTACTTGCCTTTCGCAACAACCGCGAGCGCGTTGTCTCTCTCTGAACTTGGGGAATTGTGCTAACAGTGTCCAGACAATCGTCGTTGGGTGAGCATGCAGCATTTGCTTGACCTTGATCGTCAAGAATTCAAGGTAACCCAACCGCGGCGCAGGCTGCTCTGCACATGTTGACAATGACAGATCCTTCAATTCTTCCTTTACTACCGGCAAAATCGCAAAAATGAATCCTCTCGCAGCCCCGGTTCGAGGGTGCGATTCAATCGGGGGTCTGTGGACGTGGAAAAGACTATAAGTGAACACCTTTGTATGCGTCGAGGGTGTATGCTGGTAGGCGGTATGGCGATCGAGCCCATATTGGTTGCTTCCGTTCAAGCCATACTAACTAATCGCTCGTCTGCAGTGTGTGCTCGACAGACTATCCGCGACCAGGTGAGGGCGATCGTTCAGCCAAAGATGACCGATGAGCTCCGACTCATGGACATCGACGTGGAGCCATATCACCGGTGGTTGGACATGGGCCCAGTGCGGGACACTGCTGGAGCATCGAACCACCTCAGATGGGTCAACTCCAGAATAGCTGAAGGTCGAGGCTAAACCGGCTTAACCTGACGGCGTCTTCATGTCAACGTTCACCGCTTATAATAACTGAGGTCAAATCAGAGAATTGAGTGGGTACCTATAACCTCTCTAGCGTTTCTTTTATTTGCATTTGGTTTTCAAGCCTTCACTCTCTGTGTGCACCTGAATCGCTCCGGACCAATATACACCAACACATACATGCAGGGTGCTAGAATTGAGCCAACACGGCACATGGGAAAAATGATATGCAGGAAGCATTAACATAAAGTGCAGCATCCAACTATTGGTAAACCACTGTAAGCAACTGGGTCTAACAATTAAAATAATAATACTTGGGTACATAGAAACAAGGCTCTCATTGCTATATAACTTAATATTCATTGCGCAGTAC